AGACCGCAAACATGAGCAGTCCAACAGCGCTGTCTCAGACAGGGCTGATGCACCTTCATCGATCCTTATTTGTCTCCGTCGACCCTCCGGCGTGCTTGACCTGCTCAACCGCGCATCACGCACTGCGCAATCTACGTGCGTTCTAGTCGATCGGGACATCGAACATCCATGCACCGTCCATTGATATGAAATGCGCACACAGTTTTTTAATAGAGAAGTAAAAAGCAGAAGACAAGTGATACTTTTTTTTAACTTTTCGTCCACTCTTTATGACAAGATCTTGTCGCCTTATCATCTCTGGTGTTATTTGTCCTGAGAATAATAGCTAATATTTAAACATTTTGAGTGTTTTGCGATCATTACATTATATACATCCCAACGAAAATGAGAAAATTTTCGTCATTTATTCATTCATTCAAATAATTGCGCACCCAACATGTAAGCCTTTGTACTATCAGAAAATCTTTTAGTATTTAAGACTAGAAGTCTAATTTTCATTGATATTCAAGAAAATAGCTTCCAAATAGCCCAGAAGTTTCATCTGATATTAGACTCCAGCATGTTGCCAGAATGTACTTGTTCGTGAATTCTGGCCACTGCTGAAGGAAATTGGTTCCGCAACTTATGATTCAATTCGTAATTTCATGTGTGACATTTGTGATGTAATGGTATGTCTTGAAGGGAATTCAGCCTCAACATCCCCTTATCAGCATTAAGTGTTTTGTAGCGCCTACAAGCTATAATTGTCGCTAACGAAAATGCAACAACAAACTGGGATAACGAAGTCAGAAAAGAATGATGCACGAATCAACCATAGGGAAATACTACAGAGTAAGTTTAGTAAAAACCGTATATTAGTTCCCGAAATAACAAAGCAAACCAGGTAAACCTAATTAACTGAAGCCACCGTCCAAAATAACAAGGAGAACGATGAAACAATGAACTTAGATGCATCTGCCTCACAAGCTGAATAAACATGATAGCGATAAGTGCTGGAAATTCAGGGGATGAGATGACCTGAATACTCTCACTCATCTTACCGCATCCGACTCTTTTACTCATCACACCACACTCATCACATCACACTCATCACACCACACTCATCACACCACACTCATCACACCACACTCATTACACCACACTCATCACACCACACTCATCACACCATACTCATCACACCACACTCATCACACCACACTCATCACACCACACTCATCACACCACACTCATCACACCACACTCATCACACCACAGAACACTCTGGAACGTACGCTGAGGAAATGCACCCTGTCATTACACCAAACTTTTTGTTTCCTCTTCAGATATAAATTTCCAGGAATAATTAAGATTTACGCATGTCAAGAGATAAAAGCTAGTTATATCACAAGCCAGTTTACGTAGTTGCCGGCTCTGACAAAGGCACTGTGGGTGAGAGCTGCGTTTTTGTACCGACATATGAAACACTGGAGCCTGCAGCGCACAACCTTCCGCTCCAACGTTTAGAAGGTAACTGCCCTGAGTTCACTTGGATGCAGAGACAGAATGCTAATAAGAGGTGGATTCTTAAAAACTCATTGGTGTTGTAAAAAAAATAATCAACAACAGAAAACATAAAAGAATACATTGATGGTCTTAGCACAATCTTAAAAGTGCAATTTTGAACATGAGAATGCGAATGGTGTTTTTGACTTTTGAACAGCATCTCTACTCTCAAACTGCCATTCTGATTTCACGTTAAAAAAATCAGTAAATCTTCCAAATTTCTTGTGAAACCTGAAAGACGTATATTAGAAAATATTGGCGGAAATAGATAATAATATACGGAATTCCAACAACGTCAAGCACCCCGTGACCTATAAAAATTTTTAGTAAATTCAGTACACATTTTTAGCGCATTTTCTCATTTATGAAAAAAATGCCCTATTGTGCTCGTCATGTCCATCCATCTGTCCGTCTGTCTGTCCGTCCGTGACTTCACGTTTTTGACGACTAGAAAATGCGCTCTCTGTCACTTGCTGCAGTGAGTACTGAGTTATATTTTATATTATTTCACTCCATTGCACCAGGAAGCAGTTCTCTAGAAATTATCAATCGAGTCAATTGTTGTGCTCGTCCTGCTATCAACAGTTGGCCTTAGAAAATAGATTTAGATTGTAATTGAGCCTCTTTAATTTTTGAAGACATTTTTTTATAAAGCAGTCGAACTTCTTGGTGGTGATTGCACCTAAGTATCAGTTGAACCTATTTACAATGTAATTTGAAGAGATCATTTTATTAATAAATGCTAAAATGGTCGCTCATGTTGCCTTTTCAGAACTTTGAGAGCAAAATAAATGTCTTTCATTTGTATAAAATTAAATAATATAATAAGTAGTCACGAAACACCACAAGATCGCCTCGTGTCCGTAAATTACACGTTTGATAAGATTTGATAATTCGCGGAAACTCTACGGGAAACGGTCACTATGTTTCGTTAACTTTTGAATTTCTAGTGTGAATAAAACGCGATATTTTCTGACTAAGATCGCTGGTCTAATGTGATCGTATAGAATTAGTAGCTGGCCTCATGTGGGGGCTTGTACATGCAATTGTATTATTTCGAATCAATATTATTTATACCACCAGCACAACAAGGAGCAAATAATTTGTTAGATTAACAATTCTGCAGTTAGGGGAGGCTTTGCCAGAATATGAATAAATCTGAAAATATTATCGACGAGAGAATTAAATAAAAGACTTAAGCTTATAAAACTTATGAATTGTGACTTTTTTCTCATGGTAAATTCATCTTAAGTTTACATCTTAACCAGTTTCAATAAAAAAAATTCGTATTATCAATGAATGTGATATGTCTTGCTTGCCATAGCACTCTAGCACTCTCGGGAAGTTTGTGCGTCAAATTTCAGGTCAGTGGAAAATAGTTATACCTTACATATTATTTTCAAATGTGAACTTTTGGCTTATAGGAAAATCAAGTCATAGATTTTGGAACCCTCTCATAGCGTAACTCTCATAGTTTGGAAAACATATGTAGAACTCATTCCATTTTAATACTCAAACCCTCGGATCGAGCTGGGCATGAAAGACTTTTTGCTGCTGTAGAAAGGGAAAGAATATCCATTTGGGATAATAGGAAATCCTTCCATGAAAGTTAACCTTGAAACCTAGTTATCAAAGTGAGCATAAGGACCTCATTATTCAATTTAGCTCAGGAACCATATGCTATAAATGTAGGCTTAAAAATATTATCATGAAAATAAGAATATATATATCATTAGTTACGTGTAATGATCTTGCGTGCCGAGGTTCAAATAAAATTAGCTGTAAGGAACAATCATATTAATTAATGTTGACATACCCAGAATCGCACAAAAATAAGGATATTAGAATAATGTTACTCAGAGCACAGGAGCGGCAAGGCGTAGGTATCGGCTTGTTCTACGGTGACTCCCTACAAAGAACAAAGTCTAATTTACATTTAATTAGATAAGTAACTTTACACCTATATCAAAATAAAATTAAGCATTAAATATCAACAAACATAATATTAATACAACCCTAAGAAACACGAGACAGCAAATACAGTATCAACATATACAGTAGAATCTAAACGTGACACTAGAACATTATCCGTACCTCTGCAGTCGCTGTAATACGCACACAAATTACGCAGGTAACCCATAGGCAAGTCTGCATCGAATTCGCTCACTGCTTCAGGATCGTCAACCCGCTCGCGCACTTCTACATTCAACACGTCGGTTACTCTGATATTTTTCTTCATTTAGTGATCTTAATCATCCGGAATATTCTGGGAAAATCCCTACATCCTTAACAAAATTTAGAGCCGACGGCGGCTCTGGATTGAGGAACGCCTATAGGACTCGGGGCGCATATAGTCCACCAGCTTTTTCTATATACATGTATATGTCCGCTTTTCGGCCTACATTCCGGTCCCCGAATCAGACAGCTACAAGCGCCTGGTAGTTATTCCGCCACCTCATGCCCTACTCTCAGATCATAAAGTCGGCAAGGAGGTTCTGACTAGACGCTGATTGCGATCAGTTGGCCAACTGACCCAGAATAACTCTTACGCGAGCATAGCAACTCTGGGGCGAAAGCTGAAGCATACCCCGAATTTTGTTAGGGATAATTTGTGCTGGGTAACCTTGTTTCCAAAGCAATCATCGTAATCTTATCAAAGTAGGCAGACAAATATTTTTCTATTAAGTTGCGCATAGCAAACTCGTTATTTCAGTTAGATTTGTAACTTTCCTGATGAAATAACTTACAAAAATGTTGCGATTCAAACGTTGCGGTTAAGTGAAATGGAACAGACAAGTAAAAATATTCATTTTACCTTCCATAATTTTTAAAAGAATCTTCCTCACATTCGTCTATCCTTCACCGGTACAACATTAAATTTCAATGTAAGTCCCATTGAAATAAAGTAAATGATCTTGTAAGACGTGGGAATGTTAGCAGCGCGGTATGAGTCCCTTAAGGTCTGTGACTTGTGCCAAACGTGTGCTTCTACCAAGCACCCTGTGGTTCAGCTAAGGCGTGTAAATCAGAGACCAGACTGCGCTTACGTCTAGCAATTTTATTTCGTATTACAGAATGAAACATAGTTGAACTTCTCCTAATTAACTGGGTCAAGGTAGGGAGGCCAGATTAAGAACAGGATTACAGATATGCTAATGATTATGACAACTGGCGTTACTGGACGTTGTAATATCCTAGGTCGGTGCTCACAATATGAATATGTAGCTAAATCATATTTAACGGGATATCAACTGCAGTTGCTAATTGACAATGATGCGTAAGGCAATAACATGGATAATAACGTGGAGTTAGAATTGATTGATAGAACTCTGAGTTAGATTGATAGAACTCTGATAGAATTCACTAGGTTAGCAACGTTCCTAGAAAATGAGTTGCGGGGGGTAACTGGAGGAAATAGAGGAGTCGCTGCAATCTCTTCAAGATTGAAATGATTTTTCAAAATGTTTATTAAAAAGAGACATTATTGATGCAGCGGTTGTGAATATCTTCGTACTAGCTAATCCAGTTAGTGCAGAGAACATATTTGAATAATTATCAACTTGCAAAATCAAACATTAAAGAACACATTTTTTTGGGCTTTAATTTCTGTATGGATCTTACAAGGTGACGTAGTTATCATTTTGGTCATGTGTCCAATATATCTAGGCCCACATTCAATTAAATATTTTGATGACAACATATCCAAGAATCCCTTTTTTATCGGTAATTTCTCCGTTAAATACCGTATAAATTTCCGCGTAGACATAAATTGCATGCAATCCTCGGTATTTCCCCGAATTGAGGTAAACAATCCATATAATGATATATTTTTAGGGACTCGCATTGTCGTCTAGTACATCGTCTCACTGTCGACAAGTGTAAAGAAATGTCGTCTAAATTGCTTTTCTTTTATTTTCATAGAAAATTTCTCAAATGAGTCTTAGATTATTCGAATTAGTTTTTCGTTTTCCCGCCTATTCGGAAAGAATTTTTAGTACTGGTATGTTTCCTTGTGTCTCTTCTTGAGCCAGTCCACCGCATTGACGGGCGGCAGGCCGCCTTTGCCGTCAAGAGGCTCGACCATGACGTCATCGTCGGGATAGACGAAGTAGGCGATGGAGCGACGCGGCAGCTTCTGCAGGTGCTCAGTCGCCGGCACCATCACGCGGTGCTCCTGTCGCAATTAAACTGTTACCGATGAAATGCAGCATAGAAACAACAGGGAAAACTTTTGGTTATTGTGGTTATCTCATTACATTCATTATGCTAACGAAGCAAACGTCCAAGTATATACTAAAAATAGTGATATAATCTCTGGAAAGGGTTGACCACAGCAACAGGAAAACGCACTCCTTGCTTTAAAGTAACTTATTCAACGCCAACTAAACTAGAATGCAATCAAGCAGAATTTAATTAAAAACTGACACCTGCCAATTTCCTCGGATGTAGTTATTTTTTATCCAGTTATGTCACGAGCAATAAACTTCAGTACTAAACTATCCGTAAATATCCTAGAGGAGATAGATCTCATCTTAGAGGTGAATCAGGGGCAAATCGGCCGCCTCGACAATTCGGGTGCTAATTAGGAACTTATTGCCAGAGTCGATTGCACTACGGGCCGAATCTGCATAATATAATAAAAAAACAGCTGCTCAGGCTGTCTCATATCAGACGCTGGTATTTGAGCGGAACATGGCCATCTCCCGCTCATATGGAATGGCGTCGATGTTTGTACACGCGTAAGTTTGTTAACTCATACAATGGAACGAAATGAGAATTGACTTTGCCAATTGTTTGAGCTTACTTGGTTGTTAGATAATAATTTTAATAATTATACAGCACGAATATCTCAATTTATTTTGCTGTATTTATAGACCACAGGTGGCTTGAAGGCGTGGAAACATTATTAAGGGGAGCAAGAGGAGAAAAATACTTGATTAGTACGTGGCGGTAAAAAATCAATGCTGTAACTCCAAGAGATTAATTTCAGTTCCTCATCTTAATATACATAACTAATATTCAAACTTTTAATTTGAAGAACCAGCGACAGATGAATGTTTACTTTTACATTAAGGGCCTACGAGTTTTACAATAAATATTCAGGTCTTTATGATCTTGGGATGGAACTGCTTGGTATTATAATGACAGTGCATTGTCTGATAACAGGCATTGAACAATGTACATACGGTTATGCAAAAAAGCTTTACAAAATAAGAATATATTATGGTGAAGTTCACAATTGTGAACCGCACAATTGCGTCATATTATAATGCTGTTCATAAATTACTTCAGTGAATTAAGATTGCTTTATTCATTGGCGGTTGTACGAACTGTGTATTACTCATTGCGGCGTGAGTGTCATATATGTTTATGCAACTTTACCAAGGCACCTCACTACTAGTACTTTTCAAATAAATTAAAAAAATTGGTCATTGGTTCTAAAACATCGATGACAAAACCTAGTATGCAATGCTTTACGGTTCTTGTTTCTCATATATAGTTACTTTATCATGTTCGCAGGACAAAATATGTTGTTGTGTTAAAAGTGATGAATCGTCGTGTTAAAAGTGAAAAATGTTACTGCAAAATAATAAATTTCTAAAATTGATCACTTTAAGAAAACCAAGTTTCTTAGGTTTACTGTCCAAATCTTCTCAAAGTGGAGCTTGTTGAGAAACCCGAGACCCGCGTGGGCACTAAGGGAATAATGGACATTACGTTATTCTAGTACACAGAATTGAGCATCCAAGATTTGGCACTGGCAGTAATGGAAATTTTTAACATGGAGTGTACGTTGGCATTAGCGTGTTATTTCAGCTGCTCGTGTCCATATGTTCATGTTTTTTCATTTCTAATTCATCGAGAAAGCTGGACCGATTTGTGGAAACTTCAGTCAATAGTCGAGTGGGTGGCTAGATCGGCTCACCGAGCCGCGAGCCGGTGTGAGAGAAACATGTACAAAAAATATATATAACTCAGTACTCACTGCAGTGAGTGACAGAGAGCGCATTTTCTCGTCGACGAAAACGTGAAGTAACGGACGGAATTCAAGACAGACGGAGAGACGGACAGACAGACGGACAGACGGACATACAGACGGACGGACATGGCGAGCACAATAGTGCATTTTTTCCGTAAATGAGAAAATGCGCTAAAAAGATACAAAACGTTGTCGTAAGTTACCAATAATATTAGACAAAATTAGAATATTAGAAAATTAGAATATAGAAAAAAATAATATTAGAAAATTTTAGAAAAAGTTTGGTTGTGGGTGATGTGGAAAGTTGGGGTTGAAAGTTGCATAAAATATTATTATTCAAGGTAAAAAATCGTGTTACTTGGCAATTTACTTTATTGTGCCTCGGCGACACATTTTTTCAGTGTTTCCGTCTAGCCAGCATGTATGTACATAGCCTATAACGATTCAAATGACCCCTTTCTTCCCTCCAGTACAAGGGGAGAATGGAGGGGAGATTTTTTAACTCACTTTACAGATTCGGCCGTGTCCGTGCCGAAGCTTTCCGGTTCCAAATACGCAAGACCATTTATCGCACCAAGCTTGCCCGTCTATGAACGGATTCCAATCAAACGCCTATTTCGCTCATACAACTAGAGCGAAAGCAGACATAGAGCCGCTAATTTACGCGCTGGGCGAGCTAAAGGCTTCTTTAATTCATAAGCTAACCACTCCCAAAATTTCGATGAGGTTGCTGCTTGAGTTACGCGAAGATGTAACAAACACCATATTATCGTGCTGACGAGTTGGTTGTTGCTTGAGCTAAGTATGGATGTAACCAAACTCCACATTACCGTGGTGATGAGTTGGTTGTTGCTTGAGCTATGCAAGAATGCAACCAAACTCCACATCACCGTGGTGATGAGTTGGTTGTTGCTTGAGCTATGCAAGGATGCAACCAAACTATTCATTACCGTGGCGATGAGTTGATTGTTGGTCCACCGTTGGAGTAGGTCGGCTACGTTCACCAGCACGGCGCCCTCGAGTGGGGGCGCTGGCACCCAAGCCCCGCTCCGGGTTTTTACCTATTAAATGATGAATATGAATTTCAATACAGCGTAAGTTAATAAGGTAAGATATGTGCGCACAGCATATTTTTCTTCAATCGCTCTTCCATGGAGGGTGGCAGACATAACATGACTTCACTAAGGTTACCTTTAAGCAAAATTCTGCCTATATCTTAGAATAAGAATGCAAATGATGAAATATAAAATTTGTAAAAAATGGAAAAAAAATTATAAAAAATGATGAAAAATTGAAATATAAAATTTTCATTCTTATTTGACTTTATTTGCACGTCAAACTCTCAGTGTCTCGCAGGAGCAAAGCACCTCGAGGCCGCCGAGGCCGTCCTGCAGGAGGAGGGTGATGGTGCCGTAGTCTGTGTGGGCGCCGCATCGCATGGTGCCCTCAGGACGATGTGAGGGCACGGGCGGGTAGTAAAGGATCCTCATGAGGGTACGGTTGCCGGTAGGCTCCCTCTTTCTCGAGTGAGCTTTAACCAGGAAGTTGTTTTCCACTCCTGCACCGAACGACAGTGAGCACGTATGACGGGATTATTGATGATCTTATGTTTAGATTAGTGACTAGTTTATGGTTGGCTTCATTTACTTTATGACTTAAATGTAGAATCTCATTCAAGTGAGATATTATTTGTTAATTCAAGGATATAATTTATGTATGACTAAGTAATGCGTGGACCTAATTTTCTTTCGTGACTGTAACAAGGTATCTTTTTTGCTGTGGTATTATTTNGGATGAGTTTGTCGCTGAGTTCGTCCAGCGCCGTCATGACGTGGACGACGGAGGCGCCGAAGTCGGGGATCTCTTCGTCAGGGTAGCGATTAAAGCAAAATTCCACATCGAAACTCTCGCGCAACTCGTGTTTCTTGAAGTCGCCTCCCAGCCTGAGTAAAGGGAACGAAAATTCGTTACGGCGAGGCACTGCTGTAAGAGGCATAAAAAATCTTAATGAATCTACTATACGCAAATTATTGTAAAATTCCCGTCGTCGATACGAAACTTAAATTGTCGTACATCGTCAGTTTACATAAACGTAATATATAGTCTATGTTGCATGATTATTTAAAATTCTCACCTTTCCTGGTCTATGGCAACGTATCCTTGACCGTCCAGTCTATTGTACTTTTCCTTCACTGCCAGGGGCAGTTCGAAGAACTTGCCAGTGCTGCTGAACGCTTTCTCGGTCTAGAATAAAATAATTTAATTAATTAATAGAACTAATTATGGAAAAAATAGGGCTTTCAACTATCTATTTTTCTCCAATAAATCACTCTCAATAAACACTAAATCTTTGTTACCCTGGGCCCCAAATGGAGTTCAAGTTATGTTTTGCTGTCTAATCGGAAACCAGACTTTAAACAAGGAAATATGTGCATATAACGCCAGTTATACAATGACAGGTTTTGTTTATTTTCACCTAGTAAATTCGCGTTTGGAGATGAAAATGCATCATCATTAAACCTAATCCAAAATTATCTTGTGCCCGTTGATTATTCATATTAAAATAAAATTAGTGTTTCATCATTGCAGTGCATTTCATTTACTGTCAACTCTAGTTTGATGATTTTTACACACGAGGAGGATATGAAATCAAAAATTATAAAAATCTTTTAATTATTAGTTCACCTACGTTATCGAATACCCGTTATGTACATATGGATTGACGTATTATTATTTCGTACCATCAGAATAATTTATATACCATGATATAGTATAGGTCGTGCTGTAGAGGAATTGGATTAAATTTTATAATTTATGTATTAGGCTTGTGCTAAATTTGTGTGGTCGATTTATAATTAATCAGTATTAGAATTGTAGGAACGTTTTAGAAGTACAGTAATCGAGGTCAGAGATTGCGGGTAGGAAGGATGTAGTAGTATGAACGTAGACTTGGGGCAGCATCACATGTCTGGTGAAAAGCAGCTCAGTGAACGGGTGATGGCTAAATGCCCGTTTACTAAGTCCAGGAAATAGAATATGAACAATATCTCTCATGTATGAGAGATAAAATTATGATTTTATTTCATTTAAATTATGAACAATAAAATATTTTAATGTGACCGTTGTTCCTTCAGCACAGATCATGTGGGCTACCACTATACCCACGATTGTGCCATATATTTTCACTGTAACACGGCGCTATTTGATAGGTTCTATATTATAAGTAGCATCTGAATCCAAATTGAAGAATAACTCGGCAGGTCAGCACGGTTCAGCAGATTAGCGCAGGTCTAGTGGTTGACTCGCCAGGTTCAACCACTTCAATTAATGGTTTACACGGATAATATGGTGGTTAATAGTTGAGTGTTGTTAATGGTTCCTACCGTTAATGAGGTGGTTAATGGTTTACAGTGATTAATGGTTGCCACGGTTAAAGTTTGTAACAGATAATGTGGTGGTTAATTGTTTAATTTTGTTTGAATTTCCAAAGCTGTACACGTGGAAACTGTATTGCATGCTTAACTCATGCTGCAGTAGCACGGTTACCATGATGATACTAGCCCTCTAAATACTTTATGACAATATCTACTCCAGGTGAATTATACATATGTACGTATATGAGAGTATCCGCGAAAGCGGTGTTCAAGGTACTCTACCGAATTTCAGTTTCCAAAATTTCCATAAAGACGCTGAAACCATTTATCTTGTCCCAAACTTTCAACACTTTATGTCAATTAATGTTTACCATGATTCATTGTAATTATTTTGCAAAAATAAGAGGAATTTACCAGACTTTCTGGTATCCCGTGGCCGGTGATGTACACGAAGCCGATGTTGGCGCAAGCATGTGTCAGCTGCCGACCAATGCGCTGCAAATCAACCGCTGGAATTCCAGCGTCAGCGGTTTTCCCTTATAACAAATGAACAAAATTTTTCTTTACCGAACATTTATCGAACAGTTTATTCATTATTTTAGCTCGTCGTTATTCAATACTATTCGTCGTTATGAAATACAAATAAATTTGAATTGAGGGAAACTATCCTGTAACCGGACGTTCGCTACCTTAGCTTCAACGGATGGCTGCCCAAGGCTGCACGCTGGCCACGAACTTATTAAAAAGCTAGTTTTGAATATATGATAATGAAAACCACATTCCAGTTCACCACTAAAGTTTCAAACACGTTTATTCCAGTAGAAATATAGCACTTTTAAATTTGGCACTCAACAGTTACGGTTACAGGTAGGAGCCGTACAAACACTGACACTCACTGCAAGACAATTAGCTTTATGCCAGATCGGCAGTTACTAGCTACCACTAGGAAGGTCAGAGCAGCAACTTAACCGATCGGCCAGCAGGACACAACTGCTTTGGCGACAACTCCATCGCCCTCGTCACTTCTCTCTACAACACAGAAGGTCGAGAGTCAATGTGACGCGAGCGGCCTCACTGGAAATTCATTAACACTAATATGTACAATGTACAATGTCACCTCGAAGAAATTGACATGAGCACAGTAAAAACTTGAAAGAATATCGTGAACAATTTTCCATCGTTCACAATCCTACAAATCCATGCCTATTTTTGCGTATGTCAGTGAGAGACATTAAATTCAATTTTTTAATGAAATGAGAATTTCGCCACTGAACTCGGTTTTCAGGAAATAGTATTTAATATTATAATAATATATTAAAGTGTGAACCTAGAAATCACTAGTAACAAAATCTATTCGCAGATATTTATTAGGAAACTCACCAATTGTTGCGATATCCACGACAGGGATGATTCTGCAGTCTTCTTCTGCCATTATTAACCCGCCTGCAAATTGTTCAAGCGCCTACGAATAATTATTGTTAAAGATGGGGCGAAAAACATATAATTTTAATCACCTTCAACCATAATTGCTTATCGTAAATTGTGGACCTTTTGTGCCAACCGATCGTGAAACCAACCCACAATGCTCACTTTTAGGTTTATATAAAAGAAGAATCAACTACTCTAAAACACTGCAAGGGATTACTTATGGAATTACTCCAGCGAAAACAATAATAAACAAAAAATTCATCTTCACATTCACAACTTGTAGCTTCGAATTCGAATTAAATAATATGATTTGCATATCTCGCAATTTATCAAATGCAGCAGCCACCATTGATCATAAGTATCAACACAGCATATCCTGAAGATACAAGGCACTACGCGATTACCGCAATCAAATATATTGAATCTTGTACTAATAAAACTAAAATTATTCTGGCAAGTGCAAATGACTTCGAAAATAGTGTGAGAAAATTAACAATTAGAAGTGAATATTTTTTTAAGCAGCGTGGAAAGAATATGAGCAGCGCAGTCAAAATCCAATCATTGAGAGTGTCAACTGAACCCAGGATGGTCACTGAGGTCGTGGCCTCTCTCTGCCGCTGAGTGCCGCTTATAAAGCTTATCAAACCAAGCACAACGCCGTACAAGGATACGTTATCAGTTGATAGGGTACAAGTACTGCCAGTCATTTAGATTTAGCTCTGGGTCGCCTTTCGATCGCCACTCTCGCCTTAGAGGTAAATCAGATGTGAAACGGCTGCCTCTTTTGTTCAGCCGCTAAATAGGAGCTACTTTTGATAGTTCCGTGGGAAAAAATGTACGGGTCAAATGACACACGAAATCAACGGCTGGTCAGCCCGCCCCATGCTTGCCCTGCTCAGTAGCTAGCATAAGTTCTTAGCGCGCGCGTGACAAGCCCCTGCTTTAGACCTGACACTGCATGTGCACTCTGTATGGATACGAACTTATCAACACGCGCGTGTTTCAACGCTTCTGCATTGCGTATACGTCAAGATGCTTGCGTTGCGTTATTTACAATATGCTTGCATTGAATGTGTGTTGCTCACGCGTGCGTTGAGTGAGATTCAAAACGCGTGCGGGGCGTGTCAGTCAACGCGCGTGCTTTGCATGTGAATATCAAAATTCGCGGGGCATCTTAATTCAACACGCTTGCGTTACTTTTGTGTCAATAGGCTTTCGACTATTGTCCGCCAACACGCGTCATCAGCAGAGCTTGCGGGAACTGCGTGATCTACAATACGAAAATTAAAGCGAACATTGTTTTCCTGTAAACAGGCTTACGTTACTTCTATGTCTACACGTGTGTGTCGCGTTCTGGCAACAAGCTTGCATTGTTATTTAGGTAACACACTCAAATTACATGTTTACAGATGACTTCAACATCCACGCTTCGGAAGCAAGGCAGCCAAAAATAACCCCCATAATACTACTCTCTGTCCAAAGCTGGGATACCCACTACCCCCAGTTTGAGGTAATGCAGGAAGCGGAGAGCCGGTGAGTGGAAACGCTGTTTGCGGCGTTAGTAGCATGATGCATTTCGTCTCGTATGGATGACGATTGAGACATGTATCTCATTTCAGTCGTGTAATGTTAGTGTGAATAATGGAGTAGGCAAATTTAATATAATTCCGTATCAAAGGCTGAACATATTAATTTGTCAATGTTTAGATACACAACTTCTCAAGTTTTTAGTGTCCAGTGCTTACCCGACCAGACGACGTTTAGGAACACAGCCTTGAGTTTCAAGATTTTGGCTGAAAGAAATTTTTAACTTAGGGTGAATATATGTTGGCACGAGCTTGTTATTTCAGCTCGCTCGTGCTCAAATACTCGAGGATTTATTTCTAATTCGCCAAGATAGCAGGATCGACTTTTGGAACCGTAAGTCTAGAATTGTCTTCAGTGGACTGCTTGGTTACATTTTGAATTGACACTGGGTAGTCTTCACAACCCGGCGCCAGGCCGCTTGCAAGCGGCACAGGTTTCAACGAGGATGCCTAGCCTAATCGCAAGTAATTGCGTTGGTTGTTTTTCATTATGTGCTTTATTCCTTTGCATCATCGGGTTTTTTACCGGAGAGAAATACAAGTATATCTATGAATTTCGTTATTTTAGATGAACTACAACTTACAAAAGGATAGATTTCTGAAGTTGCAATCCAGCATGGTAACGTTCGAATGTTCACAAATTCCAATTGTAATTTCGACGGTAATAATGTTTCTATTCTATTCGGCGGTAGTAATGTTAACAACCGCTGTAGACAGAATTTTATAGACCAGTGCATAACAGTTGATCGGAATATATTTCTGTATATATAAATACAGAAATTGGTAATACCGCGACAATTATTAGTTGACGTTTTTCAATTAGATATTTAAGGTAAAAGAACCCTTCCTGGCTGGACCTAACCCTAGTAAAATTGTAAAAAATAGTGTCAAAAAACTATTTTTCACACCTCTATAACCTCTAATTCTAACCCTAACCTAACAAAATTTTTGTTAATTAGCATTTCGCAAAATAGCGTTCATCTTTTTTGTGTCGCACTATTGGCAAATACTAATCATAGGTAGATTCTGTGACATTTGTACATTCCGAGACCGTAATTGTGCGACATTTTGTCGCACAATATGCCAAAAATGTTGCGCTATTGTCGAAAGTATGAGTAACGTTTGATCGAACAATTCCGCGACACGGTTTTCAAGAAACGTGTCGCACAATAACCATACTTATCAATAATATTTATATCTATAACGTACAGATATTCAAATGTCCCCTAACTTCTCCCAATATTAGGGGGATGGGAGGGTACATTTTTAACTCACTTCTCAGATTCGGCCGAGTCTGTCCCAAAACTATCAGGTGCCAAATACGCACGCCCCGCACTCGCCCACCAAGGTATAAACCAGATTCTAATCGGGCGCTCATTTCGCTCGTACAACCAGAGCGTAAAGCGAACATAGAGCCACTAATTTAGTCGCTGAGCAAGCTAAGCGCGTCTCTAATTCAGAAGCTAACCACCCTCCAAATTTCGATAGGGTGGGGACAACTAATATTGTGAAGGATGACTGCAACTAGTTAAGGATGACTGCAACTAGTAGAGGATGACTTGGCGGATGACTGCGACTAGTGTCGGAAGATTGTGATTAATGGAGGATGACCGTCTGAGACTTCTAGCGGATGACAACACGCGGAGACTTGGACGAAACAATGTTTGTGAAAAAACATGAAATGTTCACCGTTAAATATCGATGCAATTATCAACGTTTTGGTGTAAATGATGCCTCAAACTTAAGAAATTTGTCTTATATAATGAAATTCATTTACACAACAACCTAATAAAAATATAGATGGATTAATAACAAGATTAGATATATAGTTTATTTATAGAGTTCACAAATATTTAGCACTGATTTCTTGAATAATGCGAAAATAACTTCACAAAACTAACGAAATAGCTAATGCAAAGTGACAAAATATGGACATGAGTTACATATAAAAATAACATCCATGCACTAAATGCAAGGAATATTTCTAATTTGCAATAATTGAAGATAAAAATGCTATGAAAATTTCGATTACGGAGTAAAGTGGAATATATACGTCAGCAGATAAACATGGCAATATTGCGCAAAATGTCGTGGCTCACGTCATCTTGACACGACATCGTGAATGGCATTCAAAAGTTTTCTCTAAATATTCATCGTACTAGCAACAAAAACCCTGTAACCGCATTTCAAGAAAGTTATTGCAATTTTACTTTGTTAAAAATGACAATCTTGTTCCAATATAAAATATCATTCGATAATGTCCTAGGATAAACAATACTATTTCTATTGTTTTTCGCATTGTTGACTCGCATTCGTCAAGTGTAAAGAAATGTCGTCTAATTTGTTTTTCCTTCATTTTCATAGAAAACTTCTCAATTGATTCTTCATTTATTCGAGATAGTTAGTTATTCGCTTCCATCCTTGTCGGATCGAATTTTCAGTACTGGTATGTTTCCTTGTATCTTTTATTCAGCCAGTCTTCCGCATTGACGGGTGGCAGGCTTCCTTTGCCGTCCAGAGGCTCGACCATGACGTCATCGTCGGGGTGGACGAAGTAGGCGATGGAGCGACGCGGCAGCTTCTGCAGGTGCTCAGTCGCCGGCACCATCACGCGGTGCTCCTGTCTCAATTATATGGTTATCGAAAAAACATATCGTAGGAAGAATAGGTAAATATGTTTTTCTTCATTACAAAGGTCATTCGTTATACTCAGGAAGTAAACGTCCAATTAAGGAATATATGAATAGTGATATAGGGAATATACGGGAAAAGTTGTTCTTAGCAACAGTGAAACGCAATTCTTGTTATAAATGACTTCAACGCTAACTAAACTAGAATGTAATCAAACAGAATTTAATTAAAAACTGACGCCTGACAATTTCCTCGGGTGTTGTCATTTTTTCCAGTTACGTCATTGACAATGAACTTCATTCTTAGGAATGCTTATATCTCTGCAATGATTGACAGTATTTTATAGTAGATATCCCAGATATACCAAGGTGATCACTAAGTGGAGACGATAATACTAGGCTCATTCCATACATCGCTTAAGCTAATTAACTAAACTTAGCAGTGGGATCAAATTCTATTCATTAGGATGAATAATTTCCTGCAAGTAAGCCATTATGATTCAATTTAAAATGTAAGTATCTGGCTTCCTTGATGTGCACATACGGCATCATTCTCAGGTGATTCTTGCCTTCTTCTAAAGCAATGCAAGTGTGATGGAACGCGAATTTTGTGAAATATTTTTTTAAACGTAGTATTTTCTGGACTTGGAAGATTCAACTTCACTAAAGAATTCGAGTTTTGACATTATAAATTGCGTTTGAATACCACTTAATAATGCGTGAAAATATTCATTTTATGACTAGGATTTGTAATCTCGTTTAACTGTGATATTATTTTGTTTATTCATAAGATTTGGTTATCAGTCTTGGGACGAGACTTAATGACTTGTAGCTCCAACGTGATTGGTCGTTTCAGCTGGTAGCCTCGCGCGGGTGCACGTTTATTCCCCTCGGTGGTGTTGGACGATGGGGAGCTCGGTCTCCTCAGAATTGATTCGACTATTAACTGGTGATTAGTTCCCAAAAGGATTAAAACTATAATTACTATATTAAATTGTATTATATTGTCTTTTTTGTTCATATATTATGAAGCTAGTCCATTTTGTTGCGCTGTAAACTAGGTATTATTGTGAGGTCACTTTAGTTGAGTTATCCATTGCGGGCGAATTGTGTGTGCTCAGTGGAACTGGGTGGGGGTTCGATCGTCTCGAACGCCAGATTTGAGCTTCCGAGACCCACCCTTAGTTCTGGAGATATCTCGGGAAGATATCCACTAGCGGACTAATTACGGCGATGGCGGAGTTCTTTGCTAGTTACAGTTGCTGGTAGCGCTCTAGCACGAATTGCTCCCGTGCCGAGCACCTCTCGCGTTGTGGGGGGCTAATAACCTCCACACTCGAGTATATATGTCAGCGTTCTATTGCAGCATCTGCCGTACCGTTTGCGCCTCCCATTTCGTGGGAATTAATGTATTCCACGCGCGGGAGTAATCGGAATTTGGCAGTGTATTAGGGCTCGTACCCCTGATCAATGAAATTGGTTTTCTGCATATTGTGGTGCAGCTCGTACCTGTACCCGTGACGTCCGTTTCTGCATTCTTGGCAGTGTATTAGGTTTCGTACGCCTGATCATTGCAGCTTGTTGTTAGCATTGTGGTGAAGCTTGAACCTGTACCCTTGCTATCCGCTTCTGTGGTTCTCGACAATGTATTAGGACTCATCGACGTTGTATCCCTGAAGTTGAGATCCTTTCTCCCGGAGCTTATGGACTTTTAGTGAATAATAAATTGTGTGCCCCTGTACAGTAGAATTTGTGTATCGCGTGAAGGTCACTTATATACTACGAAACGTTCCTCGTGTTAATTCCTCCTCTCTCAAACGCAAAGGAATTTAGAGCGGGGCAAAAGAGCGACTTTTTTGTCCTTTTGTTCAAACCAATAAAAAAGTCACCACAAAGTCGGCTCGCTACCCATAATTATTTCGACTTCGCGGCGATGTTTCCGGTTACACTAGAATGCAACCAAACTCCACATTACCGTGGTGATAAGTTGGTTGTTGCATGATCTATGCAAGGATGCAACCAAACTACTCAATACAGTGGCGTTGAGTTGACGTCAGCTTGAGTTATGCAACCAAACTATTCAGTACCGTAGTGATGAGTTGGTGGTTGCTTGAGCTATGCAAGAATGCAACCAAACTATGCATTACCGTAGTGATGAGTTGGTGGTTGCTTGAGCTATGCAAGGATGCAACAAAACTATTCATTACCGTAGTGATGAGTTGGTGGTTGCTTGAGCTATGCAAGAATGCAACCAAACTATTCATTACCGTAGTGATGAGTTGGTGGAAAGGATGCAACTAAACTATTCATTACCGTGGCGATGAGTTGATTGTTGGTCCACCGTTGGAGTAGGTCGGCTACGTTCACCAGCACGGCGCCCTCGAGTGGGGGCACTGGCACCCAAGCCCCACTCCGGGTTTTTACCTATTAAATGATGAATATGAATTTCAATACAGCGTAAGTTAATAAGGTAAAATATGTGCGCACAGCATATTTTTATTCAATCGCTCTTCCATGGAGGGTGGCAGACAAACATGACCTCACAAAGGTTACCTTTAAGCAAAATTCTGACTATATCTTTAACGAAAATAAATAATTTTCATTCTTATTTGACTTTATTTGCAAGTCAAACTCTCAGTGTCTCGCTGGAGCAAAGCACCTCGAGGCCGCCGAGGCTGTCCTGCAGGAGGAGGGTGATGGTGCCGTAGTCTGTGTGGGCGCCGCATCGCATGGTGCCCTCAGGACGATGTGAGGGCACGGGCGGGTAGTAAAGGATCCTCATGAGGGTATGGTTGCCGGTAGGCTCCCTCTTTCTCGAGTGCGCTTTAACCAGGAAGTTGTTTTCCACGCCTGCACCGAACGACAGTAAGCACGGTAGGGAAGTTTATTAAGTTTTGAATATGATCGAAACTCGTCGAACTCGAGGTTCATCAATTCAAATGAGATCCTAAAGTAAACAAGTACCTAACAAGAGCCAAAGCAAATCCAGGGCAGAAAATGAGTTTGTTTGTCTAGTGTGAGAGTTTTTTTCCTGAGAAGTTATGCCAATTGTCCAATTATTACACAATTCAGACTAACACGCTTCTAAATCTCATTCAAAGACTTTTAAGGGGGGGAGACTACCCTAAAATTTTCGGATTTGGCATTTTCGGTTTTTAGTCTCATCTTAAAGCTGACATTCTTCCCTATCCAATGATACCACTGCGGTCGCTGTACGTGAATTTTTACTTACATGACGGCTCTTTAAAGGGGGGCGGGTAGGGGAGTTTTTCAGTAATTGGATACAAGGTAATTAGCAGCTGAGCATTTTAAATATAGTTTCTACTTGAGTTGTGCTGCAGTTACATGCTTTGTCTCATCTTAAAGCTGACATTCTGAGCTTTTCAACGATAGCACTGCGATTGCTATAAGTGATGCTAGCAAGTCGCTGCTAGCATCCCTGAGTGGAATTAGGCCACAGAAGCCTGTAGTTTGGTCCCTATGCTACATTGAGTGACTATTTCAAGGCGCGCGGAACTTTATCGCGCCGTCCTGAGAAGTTCAACTTTTTGTCACGGAAAACCTATCTCCTCCTAGAGTTTTGAAGCAACAGCAATGAGACATATTCCATTCTATTTGTAAAGACCATACCTATCGAGTAACGAAGCCCCTTTTTAGATTTGTGCATAGTTTGGATTCAAAATGGGGGGAAGGGGGGGGAATGAGAAAAATGCAGAAAAAAATTTTAATGCGTAAAAAAAACTAAGGCAAAAATCAAAAATCGGGCTTTGTTACTCGATTGGTATGGTCTTTACGAATAGAATGGTATATGTCTCATCGCTGTAGCTTCAAAACCCTAGGAGGAGATAGATTTCTACAACTAGTACCCCCTTTTTTGTCAGTTTTCTATGAATTTCACGTTTTCTATCAATTTTTCGAAAAAATCACACGAACAAAAATGTCTTTGAATTCTGTTTTATATATGTGTACCAAGTTTCAAAGTGATCAAAAACAAAAAAGTTGTAAACAAACAAGTTGTTTACGGATGGATCCATCCGTAAACAAAAGTGATCCATCCTCCTCCTTAATCGGGTCGTTTCATTTGTTAGCAATAAATTCTTGAACTTCTCGCCGTTCTCAAAATTAATGAGATGACTCACCAAGGGCAGACTGGAGAGCCAGGATGAGTTTGTCGCTGAGTTCGTCCAGCGCCGTCATGACGTGCACGACGGAGGCGCCGAAGTCAGGGATCTCTTCGTCAGGGTAGCGATTAAAGCAAAATTCTACATCGAAACTCTCGCGCAACTCGTGTTTCTTGGAGTCGCCACCCAACCTGAGTGAAGGGAGCGAAAATTCATTACGCCGAGGCACTACTCTACGAGGCATAAAAAAAATCCTAATGAATCTACGATGCGCAAATTCTCGTAAAATTTGCGCTGCTGATAAGGAACTTATAGTGTCGTAGATTGTCAGATTACATAAGCGTAACATATTGTATATTTTACATGAACGTTTACGATTCTCACTTTTGCCGGTCTACGGCAAGGTAACCTTGACCGTCCAGTCGGTCGTACTTTTCCTTCACTGCCAGGGGCAGTTCAAAGAACTTGCCAGTGCTGCTGAACGCTTTCTCGATCTAGAATAAAATAATTCAATTAATTAATAGAACGGTTCAGTTGAAAATGGGGCTTGCAATAATCTATTTTTCTCCAATCAATCCTTCTTAATAAACGCTAGGTAATTTTTGTTGCCAGGGCCTCAATTACGAATTAAGTGGAGTTCAAATCATGGTTTTATGTTTAATCAAAAACCACACTCTACACAATAAAATGTACTGATTTAACGATAGTTATACAATAACGCTTCTTGTTTATTTATTTTTACCAAGTAAATTCAGGTTTAGATGAGAGGTTGTATCATTACTAAACCTTATCCAAAATTACCTTGTATCGGACAAATAATTTATTTTGAAATAAAACTCGTATTTTATCGAGCAAACCAAGCTGAAATATTTCTAAGCTGCTAATAAATTAACTTGTAGCATTTATAGTCTTTTACATTGCATTACTTCCTAATTACTGTCAACTCTTGCATAATTTTATGTTAGCAAAGATTTTACTACGATTTTATGATACATACACGGTGATGATAAATAATAATAAATCAAATAGTGAGAGGCAACGTACTTCAATAATAATTTCTACAGTTTAGTGATTTCTACTAACGAGGAGGATATGAAAGTAAGAGTGATAAAAATCACTCCATTATTAGTTCACCTACGTTATCGAATAACCGTTATATCGATCGGTATGGATTACGACGCATCATTATTGCATCCTATCTGAATAATTTATATACCATGATATTGTATAGGTCATGCTGCAGAGGAATTGGATTAAATTTTATAATTTATGCATTAGGCTCGTGCTGAATATGTATGGTTGATTTATAATTAATCAGTGTTAGAATTGTAGGAACTTTTAAGAAGTACAGGAATCGAGGTCAGAGATTGAGGGTAGGAAAGAAGTAGCAGTATGAACGCTGTCTCTTATACACATCTAGATGTGTATAAGAGACAGAGCAAAGCACCTCGAGGCCGCCGAGGCTGTCCTGCAGGAGGAGGGTGATGGTGCCGTAGTCTGTGTGGGCGCCGCATCGCATGGTGCCCTCAGGACGATGTGAGGGAACGGGCGGGTAGTAAAGGATCCTCATGAGGGTACGGTTGCCGNATGATTAGTGGAGGATGACCGTCTGCGACTTCTAGCGGATGACAACATGCGGAGACTTGGACGAAAAAATGTTTGTGAAAAAAACATGATATGTTCACCGTTAAATAACAATGCAATTATCAACGTTTTGGTGTAAATGATGGTTCAAACGTAAGAAATTTGTCTTACATGTTGAAATTCATTTGCCCAACAACTTAACCAAAAATATGGATGAAATAAATACAATTTTAGATATATAGTTTATTTATAGAGTTCACAAATATTTAGCACTGATTCGTTGAACAATGCGAAGTAACGTCACATAACTAATGAAATAGGTAATGAAAACAAGCGACAAAATAAGGTCATGAGTAATTTATAACAATAACAACCATGCACTAAATGCAAGGAATATTTCTAATTTGCAATAACTGAAGATAAAAATGCTATGAAAATTTCGATTACGGAGTACAGTGGAATACATACGTCAGCAGATTAATATGGCAATATTGCGCAAAACGTCGTGGCTCACGTCATCTTAAAACGACATCGTGAATGACATTTAAAAGTTTACTCTAAATACATACATCGATTATATCGTAGTAGCAACAAAAACACTGTAACCGCATTTCAAGAAAGCTATTGCAATGTTACTTTCTTAGAAATGACAATCTTGTTCCGTTATAAAATATCATTCCATAATGCCCGAGGATAAACAATACATTCAAAATTGGCCGTCACCGAAGCAAAAAAAAAACACATTTTTTAGTGAAAGACAATTTGAAGTCACTAGAAGCGTCCTTATAAATGTCCTCAAATAAAATGCAATAACTATTTAATTAAAAAAAACATTTAGGTGTTCAGTTTATCATGCAATTTTAATGCCAAACCGCATAGTTTAACGTAACGTACGTCTACTTTTATGCCAAGCAGTGAAAATTATACCAGCACTAAAGAGACAGGAACATCCCCTTCATCACACATCTCAAACATCAATTATTGATTCCTCTTATACTAAATATACAGACCAATAGTGTTTCAAACTTTTGGCAGATGCGCTAACCTGCGACCGTTCATTTCAAATTACTGAGATAAGGGGTTCTATTGTTGCATCAAGAAAATAGAAAAAACTCTTATGGAAATTCAAGTGGTAATATTACCAGACCGTTTACAGTTCAATGATAAAAAATTCCTTTGTTCCAACATAATTTTGAATACATTTTATTCACATATTGCCGGAAATACACCGGAGCTTGCGGCCGCACGAGGTGAAGCTTTCCTAGTTGAGATTGCTATAATCCAGTACATGATAAGAGGCAGAATAGAAATCGCTTACAACTCTTCAACAAAAGTGTTGAAATTTACTCGAGATTGCTAATGATCCACGGCACGAAGGATTGGTTGCAAGATTCATGCCTTCAGTTCAATGCAGAAAACTTCATAATATAGTTGATTTTGCGCTAAATCTACAGCATAAAGTGGTTCATACCAGAGATATGCCTATAGTTCAGAGCACATAATTTCAGAAACAGATGGATTTTGCGCAAAATCCACGGTTTGAAATGTTGCATACATGGGTTAAGCCTTCAATTCAAAACAGATAATTTCACAAACGAGTGGATGTTGCTCGAAATCCACGGCATGAAGTGGTGCATACGAGTGAAATGTCTTCACTTCAGTACGTTGAATGTTAGATCCTAGTTGCTTATCGCAAGATCCAGGCTATGAAGAAGTGCACATTATTGTCATGTATTTAGTTCAATGAAGATGATTTCAGAATCTTGATGTGATGTGCGAAACCAAGGGTATGAAGTGAGGCATACTAGTTATGCCTTCACTTCAGTACCTAAAATGTCAGGGTCTAGTTGATGTTGCGCAAGATACAGGGCATGAAGTGAGGCATACTAGTAGTGTACCTAGAATGTCAGAATGTACTGAAGAATGTACTTCAGTACTTGGAATGTCAGAGTCTAGTTAATGTTGCGCAAGATCCAGGGCATGAAGTGGGAAACCTTCGAGTAGATGCCGGGGTATCCAGGCTCCGCACAGCGGAACCCAAGAGACACCACCCCGACCAGGTAGTACTTCGTCTGCTCGCCTGGGTTGAATACCGGGGACATCAGAGGACCTCCGGAGTCGCCCTGCGACGGGATGAGGTACGCATTAGTGGTGCTTTTCTAAACAATTTTTAAACAGTTTTTTATAAAACATTATTGCAGTTTTCATAAATAAAATAATCCCGTGTCAATGTAGGTTTTAATGTTGAATATCAGCGGAAATTCTCAATTGCGTAAACTAATTGGAATAGTAATTTTTACCAACAAAATTCAGGCATTCATTTGAACTTTGAAATAGAAATATAATGGAAGTTTCATGTTAAAGGAAGGCTTGAGGGGATATCGCTGTAATCAGCATTATTTTACAGTTTTTACTCTACAACTTACTAACGAGATTCATGTCAGGCAAAGTCAGGATTGTGGAAGTGTTTAGTAACAGTAAAATATCCAAATGCCGCAAAAGAAAGTCGCTTTATCTATTAATCTTTCAGCTTATCAGTCATTAAACAGTCCGTCAACGAAGGCCTATATTCCGTCAAATGTGTCACTGTCTTCACCTGACAAGCGTCGCGTCCGCCCTGGGCAAAGCCAGCGCACAGGATGCGCTCGTCGACACGCACGGTCTGGAATCGCGCGTAGCTTTGCACGCACGACGCGGGCTCCACGACGGGCACGGCCACGTCACGTAGGATGTTTGAAGACCGCTGGTCTGTGTAAGACGTGTACACTCATCAGTGGTTAATGATGAAAAATATCATTACGATGATACATAGACACAGTCAATATTCATGTCGGTCAGCGCACGACCTGCAGGCTCATCAGGAATCGAAACAAAAAATTATCACTACAACGATGTTGCTGACATGCATTACTTAGGTTCAGTTACTTAGAATCGGACACTCATTGTACAGAATATCATACTCTTTACAGGACTCCTAATTGTTGAGGAAACTGAATGTACAGACCACAGAGCGTACAGGCATCTTAACTACAAGGAACGCTGAAAGAAATCTTAACATTGAAGAACACTGAATGTATAAAACTTATAGTGCAAAGAAATCTTAATATTAAAGAACGCCGAATGTACAGACCCTATAGTGTACAGGGGCCGTATTATCAAAACTTCGTAAGTACGCAAAATCGACTTACGAGTGGCGTTGCTATGACAACGTAATACCAGAGGTGGTATTATATAAACATTTGCGCGGGAAAAATTGGCGCGGGAAAAAAATTTAGGCTTTTAGCTAAGACTTGCGTACGAAAGTTTTGATAATGCCAAAATTAGGGTGTATTTACGTACCACAGAACTTTTTTGTCGTAAGTACAAAAAGTTACGAAGCTTTGATAATCCGGCCCCAGGACATTAAACAGTAATTGTACACTCACTGTACTGAATGGACCCCCAGCCAGCGACGTAAGGCTGCGCCCCCACAGCAGGCTCAATGAAGCTCGGGAAGCGCGGGAGGCAGATCGGCGAGATGTGCTCTGCAATCAACGCGTAGATTTACGCCATTAAACGAATTAAGAAGAGAAATAATTATTATAATATAGTTTTCTATCGTGCCTGCCTTTCTGATCACATTCGAGTCCATGCGCTTTTATTCTCGAGGTTTCACTAGGCACAGTGGTTACAGTTCAAAGTACCAGGATCGGAGCAGAGGTGCGGGTTTGATCCCAGCTCTGTGCGCCAGTTTCTGGTCAGAATCGGCGATGAGGCCGGGCGGTTAAGCACAGAAAAATTAGAGCGGTGAGTTGCGTGTTCGAAACGGAACGAGCTGTGAATGTTCTGCGATGTTAAGAATTGACTGCGACCAAACGCTGAAACCGCTATGCTATTTTGTTGCCTGAGTACAAATGTGGTTATTAGGTAGGAAGAATGGACGCGAAAGATTAACTGGGTAAGAAAAATTAAAAAAGCTAAAAGTGCTACTGTATGACGACTAGGTGTATGAATACAAATGGTTAAGAGATCCATATGATGCTAGGCTGTACGACAGAATATGCTAAGGATTTCATCGCACGTTTCAGTGCTGAGCATTTATCCTGCACTGCAGAAACGAGTGAGAATTAACCTAAATAGCGATGCACTTTTTGCCCTTGGACATTCTGACCCAGTTTGGGCTTCCAAAGAGCTTATCAGTACGCACAGTGTCGTCACTGTTTGTGCGGTGGGTAAGAAAGTGTGTCACGATTTGGACACTAAGACGGATGAAGTACTTAGATAATTATGAAGAGACGGTTGCCATTTTTACGTTTAGAATGAATTTGATTGTTCGGATTGATGTTGAGCACTAGACCGAATTTTGTAAAAATGAATCAATTAAATCGGTCTTGAAGGCTCCAGGTGCTTACTATTTTGTGTAAGTACAACAGCTCTCTGTGTGAGTTAAAGTAAATGTCAGTGGAATGAGCGGAAAGAAGTTGAGTGTTGCGCATATGAGGGTGAATGTGTATGAATCTGTGGAACATTCAATGTTAAAGACTGCTCCATTTAAGAGAGAAAGGCAGGAGATTAAGGATGTAATTCTGAAAAAGACTGCTAAATAAGTCATCCCGTGAATGAGAGGTCAGCGATAAGTGGTTTGCAGTGATTATAGATTTGTTGGAGCGAAATTGATTAGAAGTTGGAAAATATATTTATAGAGTGAGTTTAAAATGACATATAGGAGCACAAGTTAAAGCCTGAGTACTGGAAATTAGTTATAGATGCTCTATGAAAACCTAAAGTCGGATTTAGGATAACTTGAATAGATTTGATATTGCGGGGTAGCTGGCCTATAAAAATAAAAATGTTCTCGAGTCAGCCTGTAATAATTCCCGAATAAGCCGGTATTTAACTAGTAATACTTGAACATGAAAGGCTTTGTATACCTAATCCTTCATTCCTCAAAAAAATCATACATATTGAGAGGGAAAACATTAAAAATTTGAACGTAACATAACACGCTATCTAACATTTCAGACGTATGATTTATCACTCACTCTTGAAGACAACGTCCCTGTCGAGCCTGAGCAAGGCGATGTCGTTGGAGAAGTTGGTGTCGTAATTCTCATGCATCGTGCGGCTCTCGATGCCGAAGTCTTCGTGTACAGCGTCCGTCGTCCGGGACAGGTCGTGTTCTCCCAAACGCACCACACGCCTGCGCATGAGCAGAAATTGTAGTTTTTCATTGCAGTAACGATTACTTTTTTATTTGGTGTTGTTCCCAGGAGATTTTACAATGATGATTAATTTTATGATTTCGCATCATCAAGCGGCAACAAGAATCCATTATGAATAAAATGAACTAAAATTATAGTGGAAATTATCCAAAATTACGAACATTTTTATTCAGTATTAGGAAAATTTTAATTAATCAAAATTATGAACATTAATTATACGAAATATGACAGACAATATAAAGATCAGTCGAATGTCACTATTATCAATATCCATCACGGTCCATATCGTCTAACATTGATTCTGTCATGATTTAGAAGCGATAAAGCAAATAGGCCTATTCCATAACCTCCTACGGAAAATCTGTGATCCTTTAGCCTTGGCATACATATTTTTGGATTGAATCAGAATGCTACATGAGCGGCGACCAGCACAATGTTCATGTTAAAAAATGAGCATCAAACTACAATAAAGTTCTACCTGACCACAAAAATCAAGTTCGTGCCTCACCATCACCTTACAGTCCTGCCTCACCATAGCCTTAGTCCTGCCTCACCATAGCCTTAGTCCTGCCTCACCATAGCCATAGTCCTGCCTCACCATAGCCATACACTCATGCCTCACCATAGCCTTACAGTGCTGCCTCACCATAACCTTACATTACAGTCCTGCCTCACAATTAACCCACAGTCCCACTGGGTCCATAAACAAGATACGTACAAAGATATTCAACCAATCCAACCAACCGACAAGGTTATAATTTGGACGAACGATGGACGAAACTTTCAATCATCGTCATCTCGAATACCTGACCAGTACAAATAATAGTGTCTGCCTCTTCAAATAATTTCTCCGACAATATACAGACAACTTACTACTAAATCCTTTGATGCGCTGAAGATACAGAGAAATTCTCAACAAAAAGACAAATCAAGCAAAAAGTTGCAGAATTAACCCCCACACAGCCTATGAACTCACAGTCCAGCCTGTCCATCGACGCAGTGCGCGGCGGTAAGCACGTAGCGGCGCGAGATGAGCGCGGCGCCGCAGGAGAAGGAGACGTTGCCGCGGCCGTTGTCGTACCCAAGCGCGGCAACCCAGGGCCAGTCGCCCTGGTTGACGTTGCGCCCGCCAACGATGCGCGGCAGAGTCACGTTCGAGTTACCGCATTCCGCCAGTCCTGGCAGGATATTATCCGCCGCAGAACTTCCTGGAGCTGGAATGATATGGACGTTATGAGAGATGAGATAGCAGCCAAGCTGCCTGAGTCAGAAACGACACGAGCATGGTGTGAGTCGTGATAGAAACCCAGCCAGATAAGAACTGCCAAAGTCTGCAATGTCACTGACATTCTGAGAGTCGTTATTGGAACCTAGCTACCAGTTAACAGCTATCTATTTTTAGTCAAAAATGTCAGGTACTCGTACATTCGGACAATCGCGATAGGATCATAGGAACTGTACGAGTCTGCATCGAGTTTATGAACGCCATATACATGGATCCTCGGACCTTTCTCATGATGGTTACATTTCAAGGATTCATCTCTGTAGCTCGGTAGAATATTTCGTAAATCGATCGGAAATTGGCAGATTAATTCATGAGAATTGCCACACTGCAAATTTTTACATCACTGATTTGCAACTGATGTTAATGGCTGATATATGAAACATGAGTTTACAATCGTCATCAGAAATAAATTTTTTCTGAAGGCATGAATCAATCTAATGTTGCAGATTAAAATGTAGACACAAATAATCACAAAAATGTTTATATAAGAAGCAATAAATCAAGATAGAAAAAGCGAAATGCGAGTAAAGCCTTGCCTGTTGTGTCAGTGGCGGCGATGGTGGTGGTGGCGACAGGCTCTCCCGTGGCTGTAATGAATAATTGGATAGTCGTCAAATGTCTGTTGCATCAAATACTGATCACTTAAACTATGGAACTTTTGAACCACAAATAATACATCAAATTAGGAATCTAACGATAAAAGTAACTCAAAACCTCAATAGTACACTTGAATAAAGAGCAACTAGATAATATTTCATTGATATTAGAAATATCATTACAAGTTTACATTCCTTGCAACTATAAACGTGGCTTAGTACTATATATAAAATTCAATTCCGTTAATAATGCTCATTTTTTTGGTAAAAATAACAGTAATCGTTGATTGCTAAATGAGATTCAAATGCTCATGTGCTTATCAGTATGCTAAAAAGGTGCATTTCTTCTCTTCTAAACGCAGACATGCTTGGGAGCCCTGCTGCATATAGTGAGACTCACTTGACAGTACAAACGGATTCGAACCTAAAATTGTGGTAGGCTCTGTTGCGGGAGGCTCAGTAGGAAGTTGGGTTGGTGGTTGAGTAGGGGGTTGGGTTGGGAGCTGAGTAGGAAGTTGGGTCGGGGGCTGAGTAGGAGGTTGAGTAGGGGGCTGAGTAGGAGGTTGAGTAGGTGGTTGAGTAGGAGGAGTAGTAGTTGCGGGAGCCGTAGAAGGCCGCGGTGTTACACCAGCTACCAGAGGCGCTGTCCCGCCGGAACCGGCGATGCCACAACAAAACATCGGCCGACCGGAAGCATCTCTACGGCAGATGCTCCTGTACATGGAAATCCCCATGCACGATAAGCTCAGCATTCGAGTGAGCTGTCCCGTTATGCGTGACGGCCTCAAGCAACACAAAAGCAAATGACAGGCAGCAATGCATGTTTGCACATACAACATAAAATGAACAACAAATTGCAAAGCTCAACATTGGCGTGAACTCGAAGCTTTGATTCCGCAAAGAATATAACTCATAATTACAAGATGGTCGATATTTAGCATTAAAAATTCAAATAACAGTATTTGCGGAATTGAAATAGGGTTTGATCAACTACTAAATCATTGTGGTAAATAAAGTGTACCATAAAGAATTTGTACGAATAGTATTTACTCAACATGTACTTCATTACAATCAATGAAGGGCACTTGTAAATTGACCTAAAGGTGTCATGAATCGCGTGCCGAGGCATTCAAGTCCCTGCTATTTTCTTTGTTTGATTTACTTGCATTAAACGGTGGCTTTCGTTCGCGCAAAATTATAGCTATTGTTGAATTTATATTTTTAAAAGTGTGTCTGCAATTATTATAAAACATCATAGTCAATTTGAAATTATTGCACCGACAAATATTTATAACCTTGTAGATACAAGCTTAAAACTAGGAAGTAGTCTACTTACGCTTCGACGGAGGAATAACATGCAAGCATATTATTTCGATCGCACAATACAGAACGGCGTCAGCAACGAACGCGAAAATTGCATATTAGCTTCCAAAATATTAAAGTAAATAATAAAGCCTTGGATAAAAGCAAAGACTCACGAATGACATTAATGAAGCGGAGGGTGCAAACAGTGAGATGGATCTTACCTCTCTTCAAAAACTTCCGTCTAAAATAAATAAAAAGTCTAACGTAAGCGTATAAAATGCAACGATGAGGTAGAGTTTACCTCACCTCCTGAGGTAACCGAAGAGTTAAGGTAGATGTTACCTCACCTCCTGAGGTAACCGTAGAGTTAAGGTAGATGTTACCTCACCTCCTGAGGTAACCGTAGAGTTAAGGTAAAGTTACCTCACCTCCTGAGGTAACCGTAGAGTTAAGGTAGAGTTACCTCACCTCCTGAGGTAACCGTAGAGTTAAGGTAGATGTTACCTCACCTCCTGAGGTAACCGTAGAGTTAAGGTAGAGTTTACCTCACCTTCTGAGGTAACCGTAGAGTTGAGGTAGAGTTACCTCACCTCCTCAGGTAATCGAAGAGATTTGTGGGAATAGGTCGGCTAGTCAGGATTGAGAAGATCCTCGGACATTGCACCACCTCCACACAGAGGCCCTGACCGCCCTCTGGCGGGACGCACGAGTCGGCGCTTTGGACACCTAACACGAAGGCTGCAAATGTAGCGGTGCTGAATACAACAGAATTTGAGGCAAATAAATGTGCATTTATTATGCTAATGACTTGAATTCATATAATTCAGATGAGTATAATAATAGGCACAATCCTGATGAGAATAAATATTTAAGAAACTAGTTTCTTACGAAAAATATTTGTTTCAAGCTGTGTTATAATTATCCAACACACAAAAAATGTGTAGAATAAATTTTATCAAGCAGGTTTCATTGAAGACCAGAGAATTTGTTTTATTCGCAATTTTCTTTTCAATATATCGAACAATATTTTTAGTTTGAACTGGCAAATCGAAAATCAGGTTACCGATGGACATTTTTATTTAGTTAACGACGTTTCGAATGTTTCTATCATTCATTATCAAGTTAAAAGGCGCATTGAGTGATGAAATTAGCGTCGACATAGGTACAAAATCAAGTAAATAGGATACTACTCAAAAATCAAAATTGTTAGGAATAATTACAAAATCACGAAATAATTTAGAATCAAAGCACCGAAAATTACTCCGAAAACAGTCTCAAGGTTCTGACAAATCCAGTAGTTTACTGGTTGATGGCTGGGGTCCTATCCTTAATGATGAGGGCCTCAGCTATCATGAGTCGTTTAGATAAAATAAATTTTATCTAAACGGATTAGATTAACACGTTAACTACGTATTGGTACATATGCGAGCCACGAAATGTATCTCTCCAGGAGGTAGTGCTACATAATTCAGGTTGCCTAAAGTCGGCCAAATCCGAGAACAAAAAAGGCCAAAAAAGGCCGTTAATTCAATGTATGGTATACTAGTTATTTGTAGGTTCCGCTATAAAAATTCCATTTATTTTCTTTTTGCAGTATTTAAAATTTAATTAGGAAGTACCCCTATCATAAATTTTAGCCGGCAAACGCAATTGAGAAAAACTAAATCACGGAATTTGTCCGGAAAAAATGACCTGCTTAAAAAAGTACAAAAAATGAAATACCGTGATAGTACAAGGTGAAGCAATCGTAGTCAACGTGTTAATATTCAAATGGCGGTTACATTAAAGACCGTTTCGTGGGAATCATTTTATGCATTCCATTGCAAATTGTGTCGATGTTATTATAGGAAGTGGGAATTGTAGATAGAATACTTCACACCTACATTTATTGAGCTCTTGACAGTGACACATTATAGTGACACATTTCAGTGTAGATGCTGTTGGTTATTTGTTATTTATATAATATTAAGCAGCATCCCCAATTAATTAAAGACAAAAAAAACTGTTCAATAGTTCTACAATAAATGGAAACCGTATAGATATAACTTGCAGCCACTAATTCCGTAGATAATCCACATGCAAAGCAGGCAGACAAAAATTCATTTAGAATCGCATCCTGTTTTTAAAACATTTTATTTCAATATTCAGGCACCAATTTACATCATTGCAATAACTGAATAACTGCTTGGCAATTTTACATTTTTCAATAGGGAAAAGCATGCGTCACTTTTTCGTTTTGTTCATCGTACGATTAACTAGTTTCTTAGATTTGTGCACTCGTGCGATTCATTCTACAAGGTTAATTATTTGATATTACTAGTTAAGAATGGTAATAACTACGAAGAGTGGCAGCTCATTTTAATACTTGGAACTCGAGGCAAGATTTTCAGGCAATAAACATTGCATGCCCTGCAGTGGCTGCAATCGTGACAATGTGGCCGTACAGTGCAATCATGACAATGTGGCTGTAATCTGTGGCCGTAGCCTTTACAACGTCGATCTAAATTTTAGTATATTAGTAGCTTTTTTTTAGTATATAAAAGTATACATATTTCATTACATAGTCTTCCATATTTCAGTATTTAGAATTTTAGTATAGCAGGTGATTAGTTTTAGATGTGATTGGCAATTAGCAGCTGCATATCTTAGCGATTCCTAACTTTGCAAAAACAATCACCTTGTCTGCGCTGTCGTCCAGCATCCGCCGGCTGGTGGAGTGAGACCAGCACGAGCAGCAGGGCTGTCGTCGGCAGCAGCATCGCGGCCTCAGGGTCTTTATTATTTAGGTAATTCTATTGTGTGAGAAGCATAAAATGCTAGGAATGTTATTATTAGTTGACTATCTTGTAACGTAGGAAAATAAACTGCAAGTAAATTTTTTTAAACAGACTATCTTGTAAGAGTTGTAACGTATAGAAGAACAATCAACAAGTAAATTTATTTTTAGCAGACAATTATATTATTTTACTTGACTAGACAGGAGACACTGCTTGATACCGGAGCGTGCAGGTATAAATCGCGAAATTCAAGGAAATCACAGACCTATCAAAAAACAAATACTAAAAAATCTCAACACAGCGTGACTAGGCAAGGAATGTTTTGACGCAAGTCCGAGGATAAATTTTACTTGAGGATATCATCGGTTTTCCCCGCTGAACTCTCCATTGCAGCGTTCCTAACACTGATGAATATTATCGGCGGTTTAAAAGCGGCTAGCTTATATTAAATACCTATACATGACCGACTATGATGGCAATAATTACTAACAGGCAATAGCGTAGTGCACGACTTGGTAATTTCGTAATGCCTATTTTACGTTGTGATTCATCACTATATATACAATGGAATTGGACAAATCCCATTGTACGGACACAAACAGATACAGGCACAAGGTGATTTGCATTTGTATGTATTGTTTTGTACACGTCATTGTCATCATTATAAAAGCTCCTGATTTCTTAAGTACACTTCACTCTACAGTGAATTTTACAGTGAATTACACTTTTTTATGAGTCAAATATACGTAAGAAATGCTAATTCGCGGTACATTATATAAAAAAGCTCCGTAGCTTTGGAAACAATTTCGGTTTGTTAAAAATATGGAAGATTTGACTCAACATTCCGAGTTTGAGTACTGCTGGTGTTGTTATCTAAGCAACGGACTTCTTTAGTGATTGTAAAAATTATACACCTCTATTTGAGATAATTACTTACACCCTTGTCAATTAAATTAGCTTAGGAGTAAAAATAATCTACCTTGAGATTAACATCATTTCTACCTTGAGAGTGAAATTAATCTCCCTTATGTAGGCAGTAAGATTATTTCAGCCGTAAGAACAAGATTTATCTACAAGGTTCGTAAGTTCATTTTTAACTTGATAGATAATTTCATATATAACTGACAGAAATATGATTCCTGCATTTAGATCATGATTAATATTCTGTAATAGTCAGATATTTCTACACTGATAGTAATATTAATCCACCTTAATAACACGATTAATGTATCTTGGTAGCAGGATATGTCGCGAAACATCAGCTAACTAAATGGAACACAGATCTGTCTGCGATCTTAAGAATATGTAAATAATTAATAAACATTTTAATTTAAAAATTCAGATTTTCAAACTTCCTAAAGATTTTCTTGGCTTTTAACGATTCCTCGATTTTTACTTTGTCTACACATGCGTTCTGTGATGGATGTACGCTAATTCGCTGAATTAGTGTACAAACATTAGCAAATTTTCAGATGATTATTTTAAACGTATACAAGAGGTTCTGAGCATGAAGATATCCATTTCATATTCATCATATCATTCACTTCAAACTCCTTCATTATTCAAAACAATTTCAAGTTAATGAGAACTTCGAAAAATAACCATTAATTTAATTAGTGTTATTTCACTTATTTGCATCTATTCGCAGTCGGCTCCCATATGAGGAGTCCGGGGGCTATTTTCAATGCAGATCCTTTTAACAGAAAGCGGTATTTCTTAAGACGAGTGCATGTGCTTCTGTGATCTTATTGTCACCCAAGAACATTGTCGTGCTAATTGTTTTTATTTAAAAGTAATTTTAATTCTTCTATACGATGCCGAAGAAGATTAAGCTTGCCTACCCCGCGTAGGGTAACATTTTGGGCGAATGTTAGTTGCGAGCTGTGTCGACGAGTTGTAATGCGGGTTCACAGGTGATGCGGTAATGTTAGATTGATCATATTTTGTTATACACCGTCACATGTTTTAAATGAAGGATTCATAGCTTGTTCTGTTAGTAATCCAAGCTTTATTGATTCAAATATTGCGCAATCATTCTCTCCAGCCCATTCCCAAATTTTTCAATCAACTTATCAAGAGATTTGCCCAAACCTTCAATAAAATTACTGGAGTGAAATGTCTGGCTTGTATGATTCCATTATTGTCAGTCAAGGCTACAATTTGCCAGTCAGGATTCCTCCGGTAATTTGTGGGTGGGGTGGCAAGATCCTTTACTTAGTATTGGTATGTTAACGACTTTTTGTTCACTCGGTATCACACCAAAGCTTTGGTAAAATGACTATATTGATGGAAATGGGAAACGAGTTTAAGACGATATTATAACATTAATACACTACGGACACAATCTATTCTTAAGGAGGATTTCTGCTGAAACGGTATACGGTACTCCCGTTCAATTTTTGTTCTGAATGTCATTTGATTATGCCTTCAGGGATTGCTCGTTTACGGAAGAAAACCATATTAAGTATCGTGCAAGCTGTTATAAGCCTCAGGCATTCAAAATAAAATTTGATTATGCAGTGAAGCATTATTAATATAATAATAATTTATTATTCATTCAGTTACAATTTTAATAGCATCTCATCTCAATTGAGTCAACGTCAGAACAACTGAACGTAGAAAAAGCATTGCATGCACGATAAACGTTGGGATCCCAGAATAAAAGTGGAACAAATTTTACCAATTATTTACTTTTAATTGAATATTTAAGTTCAGGCATCGGAAGTAAGGATGTGGGCAGTCTGCATGACCTTGACCGAATACGGTGAGCAGGATTCATTACCCAAAGCTTCTTCCGCGGCAAGCCCCCATAGCATCTGACCAAGGCAAGCACATTCGTTCACGTTCAACCTTGATGATGAATATCGAATTAGAAGAGTTCAGATCGTGGGTAATTACGATCAAACACAAGCAATAATTAAACTCGGGAGAAGCGTGATACGTAACGGATTTGCGTACATGCCGATCATTGACAAATGTGCTGCTTAACTATACGATGCAAAGCAATAATAATTTTAATGATTTATGATGGTGGCCCAGTGGTTACAGTTCAGAGTACCAAGATTGGAGCAGAGAGGCGCGGGTTCGATCCCAGCTCTGTGCGCCAGTTTCTGGTCAGAATCGGCAAGGAGGCCGGGCGGTCAAGCACGGTAGAATTTAATCAGTGAGTTTTGAGTTCGAGACCTCAACAAGCTGAATATTAAGCCTACGGCCTAAGCGTTTATTAAGCCTACGGCCTAATAAACGCTATTCGATCCCAGCTCTGTGCGCCAGTTTCTGGTCAGAATCGGCAAGGAGGCCGGGCGGTTAAGCACAGCAGAATTTGAATCAGTGAGTTGTGAGTTCGAGACCGCAACAAGCTGTGGATGTTCTGCGATGTTAAGAATCGGCGACAGGCCTATGGCCTAATAACGCTGAAACCGCTATTATTATTATTATTATTATTATTATGGGAAACGTTTAAACAAACCGTTATCAACTGACGAATCTGGAGTTCATTTTTTTCGAATTTTACGTAATTTGATTTACCTATCATTTTCAAGCACGTGAATTGCAATTAAATAGTTAAATTCATACAAAAAATTCATTGTGAAAAAAACATGATTTTTAAACATTTGTGCAGTTTTCTGTAGAGTGCTCATGGAGGTTAGGTTATTAAATTATTTATAATGATGATTATACGCGATGATTATACGTATATTGGAGCTGCTGTTTGGCGCCATCACAAACAAAACACAATTAGGGAAAATCAACCCTCATATAACAGTTGTAGTTCAGGTTTATGATGCAAGGCTGAAGTCTGTCGCCCGCTTACGACAGTAGGACAAAACTCTTGTAATTTTCAGCGATGTTTCATAACATCTGCACGTACAAATTGTTATCTGAACAACGTTGTCGGTTCCGGTGAGGTTCTGTCAAGCTTTCCGGTCTTTCAATTTCAGAGGAGTTAATGTTGTAAACTAAACGCAGAAAGGTTAAAGCATATCAGTAAATTTAACCATTTTAAGAATGCAGTAAATACAGTACGACTAATGTATATTTACATAGGTAAATTATTTAATTAACCTCACTATACTGTGTGCCGTAGGAACCATTATGTGCGTGAGTTTTAGTTCGTGCCTGAATAAAAAATTTTACATATCCAATATAATTTTTATCCGTAGCAATCAATTGAATTGACATAAATTTGTAGCAATGAATTATTCATAAAAACGGGGCTTGTAGCCAATGGAACAAAAATAATAGTTATTTTTAATTTTACTCTCATTGAAGAGACAATGAGTGCAAAATCCTTAATCAGCCTGTTATGTCTCTCAGAATTTTGCTCCATGAATCGTGTGATGCCTACGATCTGTAAACTTTTCAGAATTTGAGAAACATTCAAATGAATAACGGAAGCTTTATTTATCAGGTTGTTTTCAGTACAATGAATAGCCTCGCCTGATTGTGCAGAGAACGGAAGTCCATCCAGTCATTCACATTGGAACACGTACATCTATTGGAACACTGATGGCTGAATTCTGCTTTGAATTGAGTCACGTTTCAGGATAATTGCATTGCCTCGACGTGCTTCAAATATTAATTTCTTCAGCGCATGCCATTAGTCCAGCTGGAGTCGGAGCACCCAGTGTGGTTTCGCGGCAAGTCATACTAGCTTCATTTATCCGACTCGTCCACTGCCCCAGGCATTCTGGCAAGAAACGTTCGCAAGCGCACGGGACAACGCAGCGATACCTACTCTCGCTTCATTATTTCTGTGTAAATAGTACAGGATGGAGGTATCTTTTTGCAGCACATGTTCGCCAAGGTAAAATTGATAAACATCCCAAACGAAGACATCGCCACAGCTAATAGTCTGCCTGATTACTGTCCGTGATCAACTCGCTCATTCGATGCATTGTTGCAATACAAGCTAGAGTTCAAAATCAACACAATTGAAGTAGCGTCAATATTAGATGCATAGTAATGATGTCAACACCAGGAAACGCTCACACTAGGTACCAGGATTACCTAGGTTACTGTTCATCGGCGTTCGCGAAGATTCAAGGTTAAACAGTACGCTGAATGTTCAAGTTTCAACGAACACCGCCCTAACTACTAAACAATTCAGTAATAGATTTTTCAAAATTGGGATAAAAGTTAACTAGTAATCTGTTAAAGATTTACACAGGCGTGGTGGATTGCTGATCTATGCAAGGTAGTGACAGTTCTCGAACATCCAATTTTCATGATCGAAAGCGTTAAAACACATTCATATTTTTTCAGCCTTATGTAGTGACTGCATTATGTTGTTACCATTCTAATAAAATGAGAATGGTAGTGACTAGTGAGTGGTAGGCTACCCAATAAATTTTTCATCATAAACTGATAAAGAACAAATAAAAATGTCGCCCTGAGGAACACGATCATCCGACAATCGTTTTAGCCAGTTTGGTGTTGGGTATCGGTAGCAGCCATAGTTTTATCATTTCATTAGAGATGTCATCCTAACTGCTTCTTGGTCGTCGACGTCAGATTTTTTGCCTTGTTTTTAATTACAGGAAAAGTTATATGAACGAAAAGCTAATGGAAAAATTGATCTCATGCCTTCCGTTAAGTTTCGTATTTTGACAGAATCATATGAATGATCATGTTAAAGATGTTCATAAAAATTTGCACCAATGGAAAGGCGCTCGACTGTTTGGTGATACATCCGACCTACTTGAATAATTTTTCATTATTTACAGTATACTCGAAACCAACGCAGTGGGAAAATAGAAAATTACTGGAGTCAGCAGCGAAGCGCACCAACCTCACCTCACGCGTGCCAAGCTCAAACTGAAGAGACTAGTACAATGGGATGGGAAGATTATGGGATGGGATGCAGCCTGCATTACCGCGCCTAACTCCCACCTAAAAACGAAAGGTCGGGAGGAAGACACCGGTAAACAAACTTTTGTCTGATGCTGGAGACTTCACTTCGCACACAGAGAAATTTGTGAAACTTTGTCCAAATGGCGATGCACTTTTTCCCGTAAACGGGTTATCTAGACCCAGTTTTGCCAGAAAAAAAGTCATCAGTGTTATTCACAGCAAGTGTGTCACAATTTAGTCAATATGACCCGACAGTTGAATTCGCAATGCATAATGAACGTTATACGCAGTTAAATGTAAATAAAAAGCTTCTTCCCGAACTGTTTTTATTTCGGTACGGCGACTAAAGTTGAGTTAGTAGCTTTTTAAATAAGTGGCTATCGAGGCTCCGGAGTCCTTCAGGAAACTGAAATACATTCAGTAACAAATAATGCTAAGTAATGGCTAAGTTAAGGCAGCCATTTGTAGAGGGTATCGTATTGAATCAGTAGAATGATAATTGACGCTATGTAGCAACATTTAAAACATAAAATTATTTACTGATGCTTGAGCTAGTAATGTTTCGAAATTATTTTTGTACTTACAAAACAATAACTTGAATATGAAGTCAGATATTCAAGCTATGAGAATAATTTACAAATGATAAAATTCGATGATATTAACTCAGTATATAGGAGTGGTATGCTGGGAAAGTTTTATTTACAGAGATGAAAAGAACAAGCCTTGTTAGGCAAAAATTTCTCAACAGAGAGTTAGAAAAAATCGGAATAAAATCGTCCCGTCAGTTGTTGGTCTCGATCTGAGCCACACACATATTTTTAGCTTAGAAGTATTAAAATCACTTGGCTGCTCAAGTCGCAAATTTACCAGGAATTTAAAAGTAAAGAAAATAGCCGAAAAGTTCACCATTTCTTATAAGCGAAAACGTTTCGGAGTCCAGCTCCATCGTCAGTTCAAAACCTACTTCTAGGTTTTGAACTGACGATGGAGCTGGTCTTATATAAGAAATGGTGAACTTTTTGGCTATTTTCTTTACTTTTAAATTCCTGGCATTTTTAGCTTCTTTTGGTACAGTGTATCCGCGTACATTTGATGAGAATTTATCAACAGCACCGTCTGAGTTCAGCGATAAATTATTATGGCAATGGCAACGTAAAATCACTACATAATATTCTTCCGAGTACAATAGTACAGAGGGAAGGAACTTCATCCCACAAATATTGCATGCTCATCGAATTAATGTCAGTAACAATCAATCAAACTTATATTAACATAATCTAATACATAAACAATCTTATTTTAGAAAAAAGCTAACAGTTTACCACCTAATACTTCAACTACAAATAATTCACCGTTGTCAACCAGATTTACAATATTGAAATTCATCATTGAAATTTCAAGATTAAAGTTACATACACCTCACTTCATCACGCTTACAAAAATCAACAAGAACATTTATAAAACAAAAGGAAACGCCATAAGTATCAATTCCTAGGTTCCGAATCTTATTAATATTGCAAATCAATTATATTTGATTGAGTATTGCAGATTCTTAATATTAGTGTAGAGAAAGGAAACCTCAATGTATCATCGGTAATGAGTAACGAGGCTCTGGTAGCGCGGCAGTATTCCCAGCATAGTCACCGCACTTACAGCTCGGGTGATGGTCTTAAAGCAGATCTTCGAGGTCGCAATTATCGGCGTAAGAACGTAAATAATATTTTTTATTCATTTTAGAAAAGATTAAAAGTTAGTTGATGTTGTAGACATGCTTTGAAAAGAGCGATTGAATTAATCTGCCAATTGACAGGTACTAGAACACGACCACGAGATGCTCAAGTCACCGCACATTCAAAAGCGACCACGAAAGTTCTATCTCCTTAAATTTGAACACGAGTGTGAGATTCATGTCTCCATGACAATAATTTGAACACGACCATGAGAGTCATACCTCCTGACATTGACTTGAATACGACTATGAGGAAGACATGATATTTTACAGGACGAAAATTTTTTTATCCTCGATCAGAAAACACTAAGGAAGTTACAGCAAATGTTACGTAAAAACTAAAACAGAAGAACGACAAAGCAATTCAATTCAAATTATGTAAGCTTGAAATAAATTGTAGCTTTTTACCTCTAACAACACACGGCAACACTTATTGTAGAAATCAATAAAACGTTCATCACGGATGAACGTATTGGATAATTTCCCTAGCAATTTTCGTTACGTATCATAGCAACAGAATACCCACCTAATTATGCGACTATATGTACACCACAGTTGGCAGTTAATTAATACCAAAGCACTCAGAATAAAACCGAAATATATTTAGTGTCCAGTGTTAGAGGGAATCTCTCAAGTGGGAGAATGCAGCCTGCATTCTCCCACTCTGAGGCAGGAAAAAAAATTTTTCTGGAAATGAATATTTCAGATCTTGAGAATATTTCAGATCACGGGACGATAATAAGAACACTAAGACAGGCGACATCCTCGTCGTTCACCTTGTACAGTAAACTTCAGCTTACGACTAAAAATTATTTTAAATAATACTTCAAATAATATTTGTTCGCGTTACGATTCTCCATATAAAATAATTTTAGGTGTAGTAAACTTGGTGCACTATCCTATATTCGATGCGACGCAACTGACGCGAAGAACAGCGTTTCACCAGCGAGAATCGATCATTTGTGAAACGAACAAGAAATATTCATAATTAAAATAATTGATGTTCATCCTCCTAAATACGATGTCAATATGTAAGATATTAAATGTACAGCACAGTCATAATATATTACTCAACACAGGTATGAGTAAATACATGCGATGTACAACCTTAACACTTAATGTACGAATTACAAGCATTACTTGATGAGCCTGAAGCTCGGCACATGATTCAATATACATAATACTAATTAAAAATGTTCAATAAACGTAAAATACTCAACATATAATACTTGTTACGTCACGGAACTTTGAAACACATAAATCTAGTAAGAGATTCATTTCTTAAAATATTTACGTTAAAAAACAACCGGTTTAATTCAATAAAAACTTGAGGTATAATCAGAATAAACCCGAATGGCGTTGATGAATACTACACAAAGGCCTTCAATAATTAACATTCATAAACGATGACAATTTCAATTTGTCACGCCTGAAATTAGTGATAAATTTGAGACCGTCGAAGGGAAGATTTTGATTGGCCACCAGTGAGCATTTTAGATTGATTGGTAAATTGGCACAAAAAACATGACTCGACTCTTTGAACAGTAAACAGCCAATGAGCAACGAAACAGATCGTTAAAAACAAAAAAGACCTCACAGATCGACCTGAGATTCGAAGGACAATCATATCTGAATGGTTAGAAAAGATTATTGGCAACACGAAAAAGAGATGGCAATAGAAGAGAGAAAATGTCCTGAACTTCATAGGATTTTTCACTTTCCATTAGAAAAGAATAAAGCAGCATACAGTCAAAATATGATGCAATTAATGACTCATTGCCTCATCAAAGAAACGAGGCAGACATAGTATTGGAATCTTGCACCAGTTTTACCGTAACGAGGATATAGCAGCGTTATGGTATTATGGGAAGTGTTTTACATCGCTGTACAACAAGATGTTTCGTACAGACAAGGAAAAATATTTATAACTTAAAAGGGGCAGGAAGTCTCAGATGCACGTCTGCTAGAGTTGGCAAGAAAGAAGCAGCGTGAGCATTTCGGAGTGAGAAGACCGCAGAGAATGGGTAAACAGCAAACATAAGCGAAGAAAATCGTATATCAGGAACTAATAAGGGACGAGCAAAGACACAGGCAACGAGCAAAGACCTTCCAAAGAGTAAAGCCCTCCAGACGAGCAAAGACCTCCAGACGAGCAAAGACCTCCAGACGAGCAAAGACCTCCAGACGAGCAAAGACCTCCAGACGAGCAAAGACCTCCAGACGAGTAAAGACGCCATGCGGCAGTCACTGTACAAGTATCTGCAGTACGCCAAGAAAGCACCGCAAGAAAACAAAAATATCTCGACGAAACTATTGACTTCATTTGAAAATTCTAAGTTTGTGATAGTAATTTTAGAAATTCCTTAATAAATTGTGACGCGCGCAATGAAATGAATTATTTTCCCTAACAAACTTTAATCAATAGGACGCAATAGACTGATAAAATTAATTATCATCTAATCAGCCAGTAACTTCAACGGGAAACCTTACAATACGTTATAATATGCCTATTATTCAAAATACTTTTAAACATCTCAGACAACGAACAAGGATTCAAGATTTGGTTCCGCGAAAATTTCTTCAAGACATTCTTGCTGAAGGTTTCTGTTTCTCGTTTATATAACAACTTTGAGACTTGAGTGCACATCATCAAACTTACTCCTGTTATTGGGGAAGAACGCACGGTAGGTCACCTCAGCATGTGCATCTAGTCTAAGGACGGGAAAAATGAATTCAAAGAAAGAAGTTTGAATATCGTTGGCACCCGCATAGCCCTATGAATGACGTCATCAAACAGGAAAAAGCCAGTATATTACTCTAATTTGAACGCTAATTGAGGCAATAACTTTTTGAATGCAATCAAGATCTTTAAACGTTAATATGTTACCCGTTGGTAATAAGAGTTACTCTACAAGGGTCTAATACGACCATAATATTCAATATTGTATCAATATCTGCAGTTAGTCACTTCAATAGTCTTCCACAACATGGAGGTTTAACAGGAATATTTGCCTATGTTGCAATACATCACATTGCCTTCACTCAGTACAAGAATAGCAAACACGTCTTTCGATACAATACCAATAAATTATCATTATTATAACTACACGACAACAACACTTGTTTACCATTAATAAAGCTTACATTGATGAGACAAAAATTTAAGTAGCTTGTTAAAAAGTACCGTATGTATGTTATCATCCTTGAATAATCCGACACCAAATACTGATGGAGAACAAAAGCAGTTAAAGTGATACGTAATACGAATCTAATCCATTGTGTCGCTACACTCATCGCTGCAGCAGAACACCAACCCCAACACTAATTATAAACACCGTTTGGAACACCGACAATTATAATCATTGGTAATGTTGGTACGTAACTGTTTCTTCACTTCAATCCTTAACTTCGCAATAATATCAAACCTCAAAGTCGTAACACTGCTAATCCTTAAAGTCAAAACCAAATATAACTAACAAAATTATTACTCATCGATGCAATTAAAACTTTCTAGTCATAACGAGATTCAGTCCTCACGTAATATTCAATTGCACAAAGCACAGCTTCCGTCTCAGCTGAACGACCAGGAACTAAAGCTAATTTAGTGACTTTCTTGAGTGAAAACTTCAGTGAAATACGACAAGTAGTGGAGTATATGGAGTAGTCCAGAGTAGTGGAGTTTATATACTCCAGAAAACTAACGATAAACTCCTAGAGAGAAAACTAAAGCTATCCTGCCGTCGGTCGAGAGTCGATGGCCGACTCTCGTAAGCCACCAAGTAACTACTCAATATCAGGAAATTCTGTTCAAAATACTTTAATGAGCTTCGCAAGTGTAATAAAATAAGCATAATATTCAGACGGCCTAGAGCTCAAGAAGTCGATGCTAAGAAACAAAGCTGTTCTGGATCAGTCTATCCTAATTAAAATTAAACAATCGGAACCTTTACGTCACGGCCAAACTTGTTCATCAAGTTCGAAAAGAATTCAAATTGGACGGGTCTCTGGAGCCTCATTATCAAACAGGCTCCACGAAAGTGGACGGGAAAAGTCCTCGCTGTCCAGTCGAGTGCAGCAGGCCGTAAAGCCAGCCCTCTGACACTCCCCCAGGCGCCTCACCATCCCCACTGCCGCCGTCAACATTGGTTCCTGGTGCGGTTGGTCGCCGCAGGACGTAGACGATGTCACCCACACTCAGTCCGAGCTCGCGGGGACTGCTCGCTGGGAACGCCACGATGCACCGACATCTGCACCACAAGAAAACATTCAACTTTTTTTGTCTGCGAACACATGAACCGTCGTCAAACCTGATCGTATCTAAAGACCTGGGGCCTTACTTTCAAAACTGGCTAACTGAACGTAAGTACTTACGCTCTATTTTCTTGTCTATGATTGGTGGATTTTGCTCGAAAGGCCGTCAATGATAGGCTGATGAACTTACGATCTCTCAACTTTTTATGAAAGTATGGCCCCTGGGCCGTACAGTCAGAAATAGTTAAAAGTTCGTGACAATGACTGCGGCTAGACACTGACTGAACAGTAGCCTATCTAACCACCGCAAGATGGAGCCTGACCTACCTAACACCGACAGGGTAGACCCTAACCTACCTAACCTTGCAGGAAAGACTTTAACCTGCCTAACCCTGACAGGATAGACCATAACATGCCTAACCTTGGCAGTAAGAAAATTAACCTGCCTAATTCTGACAGGATAGACCTTGACCTACCTAACTTGGCAGGAAGAACCCTAACCCACCTAACTTTGACAGGATAGACCCTAACCTACCTAACCTTGGCAGTGAGAAAAATTACCTGCCTAACTGACAGGATAGACCCTAACCTCTCCCTGATGAGAGGGGCTGGCAGTGGCGTGGTGTTGCCAGGAGGTTGCGGGGACGGATGACTAGCGACGTTCACCGGAGGCTGGACGAAGTCCTTGAGATCCTCGAGGCCGACGTCCTACACAGTGAAAAAATAATCATTCACGTTTAACACATGCACGATTATAATACTAAATCAAGTCTATCTAAATTATTTCAGGCTGAGGGAATTTGCGATTTACTATAACCGCGTCCAATGCATTTATCAATAATGCAAAGCTACACGATCCTGCATGATCAGTTGACAATAAGACTTAACTACGACATTACGCTACCGTTTTCTGGTGGAAGGAGGGGGAGGAGCCAAGCGTGGAGGCAGATTGCACTCTGTCGGCATGAAATAAAGTCTGTTAAGTTAAATGGTGTATATATAATACAGTTCTTGGACCAGCGCTCAATTATTTCGAACATTTTCCGCGACCTGAAGCTCCGTAATGTTAATGTATCAGAAGTCAGCTGTGATAAATGGAGATTGGAAACGTGAAACTGGAAATCGAGTTACGATTATTGAGTGCACAACCGTTTTTCGTGATTTACCAGATTACCACTACGTATGGTATTACCTCTACTATTATTACCATTATTTTATTACCACTAGTGACATTACCACTACCTACTACGTATGTTATTACCACCAGTGATATTACCATTATGCACAGCATTACTTCTACTAATATTACCATTAGTAAAATTACCCTACCACTCCCATTACCTTTCAAAATAACCAATTCATTTATAAAAAAATTGTTGTTCCCCTCCACTCAACCAATGACCAATGATTCTCATAATAGATGTTTTGAAGCCATTATAAAAATTTAGTTCCGTTTTTTTGAGAGCTCTGGGCAATGCATTTCACAGAATGTGATTTGCATTGTTTCTCATTATATAATAAAAGTAGAAACCAAGATATATTGAGCAAAATACCAAACCTAAAAAAAGTAATGAGGAAACGAGAGAATAAAATAAATAAAAATATATAGACATCAGCATGCTGACGATAATAAAACTATCCATTATTATAACAAAAAGGAAATTCAATTTAAGTTGTTCATAATTCGTAACGAAAGAAATTATTCATCAGAACACGGGCGACGCTTGGCAAATATGACGCGTTCCTCAGAGTAAACACGTCACAATTTATGATGAAGAGAAATATTGCAAAAATGGTACGTACAGGATTTCGAACAATCCAGAATTTTTCTTTATGAAGAAAACCACACGCCGTTGTATTTTCTATTTTAAATTTTAAGCCAAGCGATTCAAGTAATTTTCTAAGCCATAATCTATGTTAATGAAACCATAAGAGAAATAGATAATTATGCAAGATATAAGCAAAGGAGCAGCACAACTCCTCGGAAGAACTACAAATAAGCAAATTTTGCAGGACGAATGAAGGCCCGTGAGAGACGGACGAACAACAAGGAGATGAACGAGGTACAGAAAGGCTGGAAAATTGACACTACGGACCAGCTAACACTAAAGGATTGGAAACCTGAGGCGTAATGTGAGTAAAATAGGAGCAATAGAGCATCAGATGATGTAGGATGTCCTCTGATGTAAGTGGAGCTCAGGAACATCACTAAGGTTACGCACACAGTGGAAGCAGGTTTGCACGCGCGGGCAACCTGCTCCAACCGGCCACAAGAATGAACATAGGATAATAATGTAAGTGTTCACAGTGAAAACCTGTACGAACAGGCTTCTGTATACTATGGTTTCAGGCGCCAGCCTGAGCAGGTAGCCAGCACGCTGGCAACCTGCTTTCACTGTGTGCGTACCCATAGGGTGTGAGGGCGTGCGGCAGGGTGCAGAGCATAAGCTGAGGGGAGTCAAGTCAGGCTCAGGGGAGCAGCAGCTCAATGAGTGAAGTGAAACAGGAGGAAGTGAAGTAGTGGAGTGAGGCAGAAGGAAGTAGTGGAGTGAGGCAGAAGGAAGTAGTGGAGTGAGGCAGGAGTGAGTCACCTGTCAAGGCGCGCGCTGACGCGACATTCTCCACCAGGCGCCCCAGGGGCCGGGGTCGTCGCGCCTGCACAGAAAGTCGTCACCTCATGCGCACCACACGCGTACACATTACAAGCTAAATTTAATATATATTACATACAGAAATATAGATTTCAAATAATTAAATAAGAATCAGGCACTGAGATATACTCGAAAAAACTAACTTGAAATGAACCAGTCAGAAGAAGTGAGCTGAACTTCGTATTGAAAATTATTTCACTCTTTTAATGTAGGGGGGAAATTCAAGAAAACTGAATTCGGCGCTGTAGCATTCCAAAACATAATATAAAGTTACTTGATAACACGACTAAAGCAGATTGAAATGGAAATATAATGGATCAATTCTCCGGTAGGTGGTAGGATTGAATGGTGATCGTGGCAGTTTATCAAACCACATCAACGTGATTGCAACAGGATGGCAGACTCGTCGATGAGAGTAACAGATCTCAAGTCCCAAATATCCTAGACATTAACTTATAAAAAACTAGAGATTTTGGGTCAGAAACAAATATCCTAGATATTAACTTATAAAAAGTTAGAGATTTTGGATCAGAAACAATCAGAAAGAGATGAAAAATAAGTGAGAAGAATAATGAAGCTGTCAATACGTAAATGACGCCATGTCGGAAATTATAGCTTGACACACGAGGGGTAAAGAATTTTAAAAACTGCCTCGCTGGATATCGTTCTGACGAAAACCAGTATATAAACTTGTGCAGTACGGCGATATAGGAAGAAGCGTTTTTAACAAGACATGGATAATGGAAACCATCAACAAGGCCCAATATTGAAACCAGTTTATTGAGGCAGCACTTATTCATCAAGCCCATTAGAGTAAGGGTACTCATTTTTAGAGTGAGGGTACCAGCGGGCACTGCCAACTATTGAGAAATAGGTACCAAAGTAGCCGTCTTAAGAATATGGTGTTCAAACGTGCAATGCTCGTGAATTTGCTAGAGCAATTTTTCATGATTCCACCCATTCCACTTGCCACCCATTCACATTTCACATGGAGATGCAAAAATTAATATTGGATAAACCTCACGTGGTTAATAGTTCATGAAGAGATTGTATAGAAACAATCCCCTCAATGAAACTGGAAGCTCAATTTAAAAAATGGCAGGAAAATGGCACCGCACGGTGCTTGTTGATAAAGCTTAATGCAAAGAACAGAAATGTTTTATATAACAAAAGAATTAATTCATTTTGAGTGTTGTCGCGATAGAAAAACATGACCGTACAAACCTGGAGGAGCAGACTGATTATTCACATGCACATAATATAGCTCGTTAACACCAAGTTATAGCGTAAACCGACATTAGAGATCTTTACCGGTATTATGCAACAGTAACACTAGCATCACCTGCTCGCATATGTGAAGATCATCGATGATACCAAAAATCAAAACGAGTTTTAAGTCGTGTGAATACCGTAACAGTGTAACCGACTAACCCCGTAATTATATATGTATATACGAGTTGAATATATTATTTAACTGTCTAGAACCGCAAGCTCATGCATATAAAAAGATAGTCACGTTAGACTCTTGTATGATATTTATCGGAACCTGTGCTTCTACCACGACGCAGTTTAAAATTATGCGCGCATATTTCCGTATATTATATTATATCTACAACAGTTTCCATTATTTCTAAATAAACCCTGAAAAGGAACGAGCGTCGGCTTCAAGCAGTTACGGTCGGAGTGACAGCCAAGGCGTATGAATTATTTAAAGGTTTGTTGAACTCGCATCAAGTTTTGGGTCCTAATAATATTACTTTTTTTCTCTAGGAGAAAAAGTCGATGAGTATTTTATTCCGTGGTAATTGAAATTGTGAACGCACAATTAAATGAATTAAAATATTTCAGTAACAATATTAAAAAACAAATTACCAAAAGTTTTTGATGTTGACCTGCAGACAGTCATCTGACCAGCAGACAGTCATCTGACCTGCAGACTGTCATCTGACCAGCAGACAGTCATCTGACCTGCAGACAGTCATCTGACCAGCAGACAGTCATCTGACCNACACAAGAGTAACACTGGCCCCTGCAACACAAGAGTAACACTGGCTCCTGCAACACAAGAGCAACACTGGCCCCTGCAACACAACAGCAACACTGGCTCCTGCAACACAACAGCAACACTGGCTCCTGCAACACAACAGCAACACTGGCTCCTGCAACACAACAGCAACACTGGCTCCTGCAACACAAGAGCAACACTGGCTCCTGCAACACAACAGCAACATCAATCATCAGACGCAGGGACTGTGATATCATTTCCGGCAAATTATCATCATTGCTTAGATATCATTTCTTACCTCGCAATCAGGCACGCCATCGATAAGGTATAAATTTCACTCGAGAATGACTTTTCAAGCACCAATGATGAAATTACGAATAAAATCAATGATAGCAATAACGACAAACTTTGGCTGTCTATCGAGAAACCTTGAAATTAATACGTTAACTATTAAAATGACAGGTTAAGAGCGGGAGCAGCCTGGATGTAGTTTCAGATCTTGTGCGTGGCTAGACAATTATTACCTCCTCAACAACGATAGATCACAAACACTTCACATGATGTAAAGCCAATAATTTAACACGAACGAGGAGCTAATACCGAGCAGGCTGGAGGTAATTGCCGGGGAAGACGCCCGTCTTGTGGGTGGTGAGGCAGCGCCCTTTGTACCAGCCGTCATGGCAGCGCTGCGTCACGGCGTACAGGCCGCCCTTCGTCAGCGCCACCTCGTCTGCCTTCTGCGGCACGTATGGGAACCGTGCCACGTATCTGCACGGCATTATTATAGTTATTCTTTAAATAAATAGAGACATCACTGAAAAGAAAGGAATATCTGCAGCACCGTCGTTTCAACACAAACATTCGAAAATTAATTGAATTTACTTTACTATTTTTACAAAGGAAAAGCTAAAAAAATCTCACAGCATTGCCATGTTATTGGAGGCGATCTTGGCAGCAGAGGCCGGCAAGCCTGCGTTGGCAGGAATAGTGAGAGGTGGCAACAAGTCGTCGTGGATGTTGCCGGCTGAGAGAGGGGCCATGTTGCCGGCTGAGAGAGGGGCGATGTTGCCGGCTGAGAGGGGGGCAATGGTGCTGGCTGAGAGAGGGGCGATGTTGCCTACAGAAACGGGGACGTCTGAGCACTGCTCACTGGGGGGCGCCGCAGGTGAGATGGACTGCAGAGAAGAGCCGTGACTGCCACGGCGAGGCAGGGTGCTGCTGGCGCGAGGTTGGGTCACGGCAGGTTGGCTGATAAACAGAGAATAAATTATATCTTGAACCATGCATAAATGTTTGGGAGGACGATTAAAAAGTAGGCAATAATTCAAATTTATGAGGCTGGTACAGGAGAGTATGAAAAGTTCTAAGATATATTTACTTTCAATGTAACATATTTTTTATACAACAATGGGATGAAAATTGGTGATTGGTAGCGGCAGAAGACCATGAGCTACCATGTATGGTAAATTGTCTGTCACAATGTTAAGATATAAAAAAGAAGTACTCAATTTTAATAACATGAACGGAAATTAATTCTGATATCTAAGAGCACATTTCCTTAACACTTTGACTACGATTGCTTCATCTTGTACTATTATTTCATTTTTTGTACTGTTTTTAAACAGAGTTGCCAGACGGTCATTTTTTTCCGGACAAATTCTGTGAATTAGTTTTTCTCAATTGCGTTGGCTGGCAAAAATTTATGATAGAGGTAGGTACTTCCTAATTAAATTTTATGATAGAGGTACTTCCTAATTAATTAAATTAATACTGCAAAAAGCAAATAGATGGAATTTTTATAGCGGAACCTACAAATAAACTAGTATATATTGAGTTATCGGCCCTTTTTGGCCTGTTTTGTTCTCGGATTTGGCCGATTTTAGGCAACCCAAATTATGTACCACTACGTCCTGGAGAAATATATTTTGTGCTTCGGAGTCAACGTGTTAAAATACTCAATGGTCTACTAAGAACAAAAGGAAATACCATAATCTTCAGTATGAAGTTCAACACCATAAATTCATCAGTAGTGCAGCAAATGAATCACATCAATTACCTGGTCTCAGCCGTTGTCCCTGCAGGCTCGAGACTGGGAAGGACTTGCAGGAGGGCGGCAGCGGCAGCGTTGAGCTGCACGAAGGATACAGGGAAGATCCCCGTCTGTCCTGCCAGGGAACCTTCCGCCCAGTTGTGGTCCACACGACGACTAACGGCCAACACCTCACCCTGCCCAAATTTATTATTAGGGAGAATATATAATAATTACTTAAAATGCTCATAATCAAAATTATGATATCATATTTTATAATATTTTATATTATAAAATATTATTACTTCTGATGACTGATAACTTGGATGTACCGTAAGACGCGGTGAAATATCAAAGCAATTGATGGAGAATCAATTATCTTATCAGAAGTAAAATAAGTGGCCAAATTAAGTAAAATAAGTGGCCAAATTATCAAGGGCGCAGATAAAATACTAATAAATGATTTGAAATAACATACCTTTCCAGTAATTAAGACAAGAAAATATATCTTTTTTTTAGTAAACATAGATAGTATTTAGACAAGGAAATAAATCCTTAAGAAAACCAATAAAAAAATGAATCACTGAACTATTTTAAGAAATCCTGCAAATCTGAAATACTAACCTTGTTGAAGCTAAGGCAGCTGGCCGCGGGGCCCTGGGAAGCATCAGGCATTTTGAAGTCATAGAGAGCAACGGCCTGAGGGAGCGCGTCTGAGGGCAGAGGCTGGACGTAGGAGGAGGGGAGGAAGCCTTGTCTTCCACCACACTCCCCCACCACCCAATTGTTGTCCACCACGCGCACCACCGTTACTATGGCGCCCTTCTGCACACTCAGGTCTCTGCCATAACAGAGCCCATTCAAAATGTCATCATTGATCATAAATGAGACACTTCAAGTCCTAATTTGTCAGCAAACATAACATATATAGTATTCCATGATGATACTGTAACACCGCATGATTGTTTCACATACGTACGTGATATGTTTGTTCTGAATTTTGCTGAGGTGTCTTCTTGCCTTACCAGTTCAATTTTCTCATAGCCAATTGCAAATATACACAAACATCTTTGCCAAGCTTTAGAAAAAATTTCTGTGCTTTAAAGTTTCATGAAAAATGTTCACAGATAATAAAATACTAGACGGTCAATTCAAGCCTACTAAAGTATTTACATGATAATTTTGCATTTATTTTTTTCATTTCATAAAAAGAAATAGTTTTTAGCACCTACCTTTCATTGTTGCCTGAGTAGTTGAAGAGAGCGCGGGCAAACACAGGAGCAGCGAGCTGGAAATGATCAACCATCAGCTGGGAAGAAATATTCATGCCCCTCATGAATAATGCCCAATTTACTTATCATGATGATGGTAACAACGTGAAAATGTGTTCAAATGGTAACATTGTTTCACATTAGAATTTCACCATTTGATCAGCATAAGGCTAGAAAGCTTAATATGTTGGGTACAGATTAGAAATGCATCTTATTGAAATAATTTATATCATAAATTCATGAATAAATAGAAAATTTTAAAAACTTTAGCAATAGGATGGGATTTTTATGTTAGGTAATAAAATAGATTGAATTATGGTACAATAGAAATATTTTTAGAAGAATAGCGACCTAAACTATTGGACTTTGGTAACAATTACATGGTCCTGCATTGGCATCATTCACTTTCATTAGCATTGCAGTGGAATCTTGAATTCTGGAGTGACACTTTGCATCTATTGACTGCTGCCTGTCAATGACATTAATGTAAAAGTTTTATTTTGAATCACTAATGGAAGTCAGGAGCGCATGGATCTAGAGACTGAGGCATCCAAGCAGTGCCACTCAGCATGGAACCAATTTTTATGGAAAAAATCAGGTCAACCAATACAATATTGCTCAAGCAGGTTAAGCTGTAAGAGCCTTCAGGGAGTACAGAAACTTTGTGTTTTCTTTGTAAATTTTAGCTGATTCTGGATTTCCTGCCATTCTACTCAATAATATACCAAAGCATTGCAGTGGAGATGATTATAATATTTCAAAATAATTCTCATTCTACTAGCTATAGGAATGTGGTTGTGAAAGCCAACCATTTATTTTAATTTTATAAAAAAGTATACAATGTAAAAATCTTCTTCAAATAATTGAAATTATAGTCCTGCAATTTGTTCTAGGAAGAAAACTGTCTGACCATAGAGCCTGTCATGAAGATGAATATCAAACAAGACACTTGGATACTAAAATATTCTATATAAATTCAAGTTAATATTGGTCATATAGGTACTACAAGTCCTTTAATTAGAAGTACTAACCTGGGGTTTAGCTGATGACAGAGCCAGAGGTGATGTGGAAGAGACAAAAGATCCAAGATGAGAAGCAGAGAGGCCTGAGTTGGTACCAAAAACTGGTGTGATGCTCCGACTGTTTGGAGCAGTCTGAGAGAGTGGTGCTACAGTGCCTAAATTTGTCATCTGATCACTAATGGATGAAGTGCCACCAGAGATAAGTGAAGATGATGTGAGCATCAAATTATCTGTTGAAGAAGCAGAAGGAAGAGCCACACCAGAAGCAAAGAAGGGAGGAAGTGGGCTAAAAGATGTAGATGTGTTTAAACTAGATGTAAAATTTGAGACACTTCTGACTGATGTTTGACTTGGGAAGATAGGTGTGCTTTGAGTGGTAGCAACAGGAAGAACAGAGTTGTGTACAGATGTTGTGGCTGGAGAAGCTGTTCTTGAAGAGAATGAAGTTTGAGAGAGCACAGATATGTTGGACTGTTGGGCAGCATTTGCACTGTTGGAAGACCAGACTCCTACCCCAGTCAAAGCTGAACTGCTCCCAAAAACATTTACACTTGGCAAAGAAGAGGAAGATGAGTCAGATGGCAAAGCACTACTTGGTAAAAGACCACTAGAAGTGTCAGAGGCTAAGGAATCCTCCAAATTACTCTCTCTATGATTAGTACTAAATGGAATTGATTGGGCTTGTTCATTTAAAATAAGAGAATCGGAAACCCTAGCAGTCAAGGACTGAATATGATGTAAATTTTGTTGTAGCATCTGATTTGACAAGCAAGTCTGAGAGGCATTGCTGTTTGCAATTCCAGATAAACTTGGAGTAGATATTGGATGCACTAGAGGAGACACAGAGCTGGAACTGGAATTAAATGATATGGGAGAAGACATGATAGATGACTGATAACCAGGCTCAGATGGACTATTGAAAAATGGATTCAAAGAATTTCTTAGACACAATGTGGTGGAAGTCAAGTCTGTATTTGTAGATGAGGAAGAAGCAACAGAATTCAAGGAAGAGTTGATGGAAGCAGGACCAGGCAATGCACAAATGGCACTTAATGAACTTGAGCTCGAGTCTAAGCTCTGGAAAGTGGATCTGCCTGGTGATGATTGAAAATTTGATGGCAATGTCCCACAAGCACTAACATTGGGCTTATCATAAAGCTTGAGTATATATGAGTAATCAGTGGTGGCAGGTGGCAAGGTACCGGTATTTGATGCCAAATTAACATTACTTGAATGTTGAGTAGTGTTTGGTCTGTTTTTCAAGCCCTCAAGTATCCTTATGAGGAGAAGATTTGTGGGCAGACGGTCGATGGGAATATTCACCAGCACACGACACTCAGGACACAGCAATTCCTGCACACATTGACATGAATTTGATTTACATATAGGTACAAGTTATACAAACTTTTTATGTCTTAATTTACAAAGATGCATTTAAAGCAGGGAATTCTAATCTTGGAATATTAATAGAATGATACACATTCAGGTCAGTGATCAAATCTATCACAATACCATGACAATGTTTTAAGGACATTATCTGAAAGCCCTAAAAATAGAAGGAAAGTTATAGTCGAAGCTCCAATAGAAGGTACAGTAACCTGCATTTTCTTGACTGTAAAGCAAGGAACAACTGCACAATGCAGGCTTGAGAACAACAAATGCATTATATGCTTATAAATGGGGCTAGTATTGGCTGTGAGTATGTGCTGCAAGTTTTTACTCTCAGTTTTACATTTGGTAAACAGTATTTTTGCTTCTGCAAGTGCCAGTGTGGAGTTGGAAGCAGTCAAGCAAGGTCTGTACATGGTGGAATATGAAGCCTAATGGTGATAACAAGTTTGAGGAGGTGTTTGATGAAGGAGCTTGTGGCATATCTGCCACTCATACTGAGGAGGTGAAAAAATTGGTAGATCATAGAGTGTGGGTGAGTGACCCAATAAGTTCTAATTCAAGTTTCAAAACACTACTTTCTTAATTAGTTTTTGTTGTAATATTCATTATGACATACATTTCACATTAGATTGTATTTTTGGAATATCTATGGGAACTGTTCAATGTCATCTGAACACTTTTTAACATTCTGAGAATCGTTTTTGTTGAGACGAGGCAGTGTTCATAACATTGGAAACACTTGCCCAAAGCAGGATACAGAGCAACACAGAGGTTCACACTATGGCAGCCGCAGCTCTACTGCTGGTACTTGACCGCACATTAACAACCTGAAGTGCTTGAGACGCAATAGCATCACCTACTTACATCTGAAGAATAAATCATCACAATATTTGGAGTGCAAAAACTTGCGGTGAATACTCTGAACTAATATTAGCCCAGTGGATAAGCACCAATTGAGCCAAAGATTCCATAGTAGTAGGGTAGATGTGTGGTAAAATATAATTCCATCAAGCTTCTTCACAAATCTTGATTTATCATTAATATGGCTCAGTACAAATTAATGATATGAACTTGATATCAGCCCACCTTAATATAACATTATAACATGCATGTAATGGATATGTACCGTCAACCGGGGTAATTCGGGACGATTTTGAGCGTTTTTTGTTAATAACTTCTTACGATGAAACATTTCATAAACAAGTTTAGGCTCATTTTATAGCTCTTTGCGAGGGCTATCGAATGGCATTGTCAAAAAAATTCCATATGCTATTCCTAAGGTGCCAGAAGCAAAAAAAGAGTGTCCCGAACTTTATACTACATAGATAGGAAAAATGTTGACGTTTACGCCACTATTTTTAGTTTTGCAATATTCCAATTAGTTTTGCTACTATAACAGTTTTACGCCGTGTCGGAGGACTGTCCCGAATTACCCCGCCAGTCCCGAGTTACCCCGGTTGACGGTACCAATCCAAATAAGATTGATTTTTTATAGGTCATTTGTGGCTAGACCCCTAACCTAATGTGGAAAACATTTATATAGGTACCCCATGAGCCACAACTGGATTTCTGGAGCAACAAATTTGTTGTTTTTGAAATAATGAATTTTTTACTTTTCAATATATGAATTCATTTTTTGAGCACACACATGATCGACATGAAGGATCGACACGAGTCTTTTTCCCAAACTATGTAAAGCCTTTTTTTAAGCCACTAACTCATTTGTCACACAATGTAAAAAATCTCTTTTAAGACCATAGGAATACCAAGAAAAATTTTCTTCACTTAACCAAGCAATTAGGAATGCTACTACACATTTCTTTCAAATTTAGTCAAAGAAACAATATTATTATAATACAACCTGACATGACTGCAATTATGAGATCATCAACAAAATTCTTTTAATGAAGTCACTGTGCATGGTATTTTGTCTTGAGTCTGGGACAGAAGTTCCATAGTGGTAAAGCGAAGAGTGTTTAGACTCTTCCTCAAGTTCAATTTTGAGTCCTACAAGTACCTAGACCATGGATACTAGCATTATCATGCATAAGATATTGGTTTAAATTTTGAGTAAATGAGGAAATGAAAAATAAACTCATTCTAAAAGAATTTCTGGTTTGCCACAATGGACAGAACTGCAGCAGCTAAAATTTCATAAATTGACATTTGCAAGCCATAATAGTTATAAATTTACCAAAATACAGGATTTTGAAGGAATTATATTTCAGAAGAAAGGAGGATAGCTCCAATCCTGCCTGCAACTAGACATGAATGACTAAGGCTACTATATACTAATGATGCAATAATGATCAGAATACAAATAACACATACCTTATGAGACTTCATTATATCATTGAGACATCCATAACAAAATGTGTGCTGGCAGGGCAATACACGAGCAGTACTGTCCAGCTGATTCAAGCAGACTGAGCACTCAAGCACATCAACAAGTAAGTCCTCCATGCTTCAAAGTTTATTTTAGCTTCTAAGTTCTAGTTTTACATGAAAACTTGTTGGTTCCTCAAATAAGTTGAGTTGAAATCCTGAGCAATGGACATCAATTTTGCCTAGTATCCTGAAAAGAACAAACAATGCAATCATACTGAATTAGAAAATCTCTAAGAAAAAAGTTCAGTAAGGGAAACAAACTAGACATATCAAATAAAAAAAAATGAGCACCTGAAGCTCAAAATGTCTAAATAACCCATATTTTCTTGTAATTTTATGACCTGCAGCAATATATCACAATTTGGAATGCAATTCTAGATCATTCGAGGTCACAGCATTTAAAAAATTAGAAATTTTGGTTTCTAATTTTCTATATTAAACAACTACAAGAAATTGGCTTAGGATATTACATAATTAAAAATACAGCCATTTCTTCTCCTCTGTTCAAAATTGAAGGAGCTCTGGAGACTCCTTCAAGGTAGTCACTTGACAGGATAGTGCTCAGGGCTATACAATTGATGTCGTCAATGCCTGATGATTGACATGAACACAAGTGCTTCATAATCAATTTACAATGCCCACTGATTGACAATGATGCATGCGTGAACGAAAGATGTGACCAACACCCAGGGTTGGTGATTTTTTTAGTTTGAAAAAAAATAAAAAATCAACAATTTTTCTATTTTTTCATGATTTTTTATTCATTTGATTTTTTCAGCTTTTTGTCTTTTTGAAAGGTTATTTTTTTTATGTTGCAATTAGCCTACTAATAATAACAGTATATGGATCATAATGGATGGCTAAAAAAGGCACTTATTGCCTTCAATAATGGCCAACAGGCCAAGGTGGTGTTTACCACTGTGGGATTTTTGGGTAAACAATTATTGATAAGTCTATTCATTAGCTTTGTAAAGTTTGTATGGAGCAAGGTAATAAGCTAAATAATGACCATTTTAACTGGCTTCAATATACAGCAACGCTTCTGGAATCTTCTAAACATTAAAGAGTCACATAACATAGGAAGCTGATAGCACAGTGCACAACACTATCAATAGATCTACTAGTTTCATGTCTTACAAATCTACCAGACTCTACCCTCTATATAAACTGACTAGTAGTGACCGAGTGACTGACTGGACTGTTCCCATTAGAACTCAGACCAATTAACCAATACTAAACATAAACTGAACGATAACCAAACAAACCTCAAACGACTTGAAATGAGACTACGTAATGTTATGAGAAAAGCTAACACTGTTTGAAATAAACATGTGCACAATTCAAACATTTTATTTCCATTCCCTGCATTTAATTATTTTATATATAGTTTTATAACTGTAATTGCTTTGTTTCTAGTTTTAAATTCATATATTTAAATATTGAAATTAAATATTTTAATAAAAATACTTGTATTAGGGTGGAAAATCTTTCCAATTGCCTAAAAGGTCAATACAATCTCAACTTCTCAATATACAGGGTGGGGCAGAACTGATTGAGCAGTTTCGAGGCAAAATAAAAGAGTAATGGAGGTACCTAAAGAAGAACGTTTATTTTCCTTGAGGTTAGCATAACATACCATTTAGAATATAGTCAGATGGGGTAAGACAGGACCAAAATCACTAACAAGCCTGTAGCATCTATACCATGAATAACTAAAAAACCACAAACCTATCACAAAGTGTAGTTATGCAATGGGCTTCTAAGCTACAACTCAGACGTTTTGCATCTAACATAGGTAGTTTTCTGTACAGATTAAAAAAAGTGAGTAAGAAAAAAAAGTGAGTAAGAAGTGAGTTACTCCAGGCTGGAGTAAGAAAGGACCAACTGGTAATTCTTATGTTACAAGGTTTTTAATAAAAGTACAAACCTGATATTCAATATTATCCATCTAGAAACACATTATTTGATTAAACAACCACTTGTTACTGTTTTGTGTTGCAGGAATTCAACTCTAATATCAGTCACATTGAAGTTTTTGTCACGAGAAAACTTTGTTAAGCATAGTAATAGTGGGTTGGATTTGGTTCATCATAGAGCACTGCTAAATGCTTCATGTATATTACATTAGTGTCATTGTCTGAAATATTTATCAAATTGGTAATAAAACCAATGGATAATAACTTAAGTGTCAGAAGTCATGTGTTTCCTTGCTAACTGCATTTGTGGTGCACTTCTTTAAATATAGCTCATGCCCTCTCACAGAGGTGTGATCATAATTATTTTTCATGTTTCACACAATGATTTTTCCCCCAGCTAATCTTGCACATAGTTTTGCAGCTCACTAATGGGAATAGACATCCCTATTTTCTATATCCCTTTGATGCAATTTAAAATGGTGCACTAAATTTCTCTAATTAAAAGCTAACAAGTTATAATGAAGTTTGAGCAAAAGATAAAAATTTTGACCAAAATACTCCATGTACTACACAACAATTACAATATATTCATTTAAAAACTATTTTTGATAAACTAGGGTAATAGAGGACCATTTGTGGGGTAAGACAGGACCTTTTGTGAGGTAAGATAGGACCACTTGTGTGGTAAAACAGGATCATTTAGTGGTCCCGTCTTACCCCATGTCTGGTCCTTTTTTACCCCATTTTAGAATACATGTCAGGCAGTGATGGTAGCAGGTAGGAATGCCTAGTATGTCTACAAAGTTGCCTTTTACTTGAGGTTACCTGCCTACATCCACAAACCTGGCCAACAATTTTTTTGTCATTAGACAGAGCTTATTTCCCAAACAGGGTTAACTATTTTCTGACCCTTCTTTACATAGGTTTTCTTTATAAATTAGCCAGAAATTCATTATTTGCAGAAGAGGGTTGCCACAAACACTGAAATGACAGGCAATGATTGTTCTAACATATTCTTTTGTCAAATTGAATTCAGTGCAATTAGAATGCATGCCATGGGCTGGTCCTTTCTTGCCCCATGAAGGGTGCGATCCTGTCTTACCCCATTTGACTATACAGCAATCCCTTGATTAACGCGGTTAATAAATCCCCGAGTTTTACCGTGTTAAGCAAAACCGCGCTAATCAAACTTAAGAATATATGGGAATAATTATAATGAATCCTCAAAAATAGCAAAGGAAAGGAAAATTATGTAGTTTGATAAAAGTGAGCAGTAGATATGGCAGTGATCTTGACCAGTTGAAGGCTAGCGAGTAACTAGCCCTTTACGCACTGAATTATGTTTCAAAAGTGAAAAAAACAATCTGAATTACTTTTCAGATCACGTGCAGTCTTTGTGTTGTACTGGCAGTAGCGGCGCGCCTACTCCATCGAACGTCGTTTGAACGAGTTCACAACATGTGACGCTACCGTCACACTCACGGCTAGACTCCAAACATGTAATTACTCTCGGTAGAAGCTTTTATTTTCTGTGTGACGAATTCGTCACACCAGGGCTTAAAGGGCTAGAGCACCGGCATGGCGCACTTACCAGCGAACGTTGCCGAACTCGATCATTCGAGTTATGAACGAGACAAGGCGCGGTTAAACCAACTCAGTAGTCAGCACGAGTGCCTATGGAACGGGACCTTATTTAAAGAATTATTGGCTGAAATTCATAAAGTAACAACATTTGGCGATTTTTTCCAAAAGTCGTAACAAAAGTAACAACATAAGATCTAATAAGCAAAAAGTAACACTTTTGTTACGAACGTAACACCTCTGGCTAGAGGCAGGAAAATGATGCGTTGTGAAAAAAAAGTCGCGCTAATCAAAACTGGCACCGCGTAGATTAAGGGTAGGTCGCAAAAAATTTTTCCGCATTATTCAAAACCGTGCTAATCAAGGGATTGCTGTACTTATGTTCTGAAAACAATATCTGGAAGATGGTGGCCGTTAGCTGCAACACACTGTTGAAGTCATTCTCAGAGGAGGGAGTAACTGTGACAGTGAATTCTGATTGCTATGCTGCAATGTTGCAAAATTTCTTGCAGCCCAGGATGGAAGACACTGTTGAAAATGAAGCATTGGGAGATGTGTGGTTCCAGCAGGATGGGGCTACAGCTCACACAGCCCAAATATCACTTGATGTTTTGTTTGATACGCCTGTGAGATCACCTGATTTGAGCATTTGCAATTTCTTTCTTTGGGGACATCTAAAAGAAATGGTGTTCAGAAGTTGCCCTCACACCCTACCACAGCTACGGGGATGGATTATTGCAGCAGAGGTTATGACCATACCTCGCCATATGTGTGAAGGTGCTGTAGGAAACTTCTGAGAACGACTCCAACAGTGTGATGCAGCTAACAGACACTATCTTCCTAATATTGTTTTTAAAACATAATTATTTTTAATGGTATATTATGCTAATCTTGAGGAAATTAAACTTTCTTTATGTACCTCCATTATTATTTTATTTTGCCTCAAAACTGCTCAATCAGTTCTGCCTCACCCTGTATAAGTTAGCCAACACATTTAAATTGTATATTGTAATCAATACATAACAAATAGTCAAATAGTTAAAGACTACTTATAGCCTTATGAGAATTACCTAAGCTGCTAGCCATGTACAATGTATTGCAACACTTGATGCCTCTGCACCAAAAACATTCAATTTATTGGAACCTAATACTCACTAAAGGAAACAAGTTTATATAGGTACCAATTTATCATTCATAGCACATTTATACTAAACCATGAATAACAATACTTCAAAATAAATTAAAGACTGCCACTCAACATATTTAAATATATAAAAAAAATCATGATTTTTTTTATAAAAAAAAAATCAAGTGATTTAATCACATGATTTAATCTTTGCCAACCCTGCTTCTGGCCCCTTACGAATAGCATATGGAATTTTTTTGGAGAAGCCATGTGATAGCCCTTGCAAAGAGCTTTGAAATGAGCCTAAACTTATTTATGAAATGTTTCATGGTAAGAAGTTATGAATGAAAAACGTTCGAAATTGACCCAAGTAGCTCCCGTTGACAGTAGTGTTAGAGGCTGTGCAAATGTCAGGAGAGGTAGGTTGTTGATTGCTTGTGGTGGGTAGAAGAGTAGGTGAATTTTGGTTGAGGACAATATGGTTTGAATTCTGTATAATGTCTTCTATTAGTATGCCTCTGTGGTCATTTAAGGTGAGTGCTAAGTGTTGTGGTGGGCGTTAATG